CGGGATGAGGGGGGGGGCGGGGGCCGGGGGGGGGGGGGGGGGGGGGGGGGGGGGGGGGGGGGGGTGGGGGGGGGGGGGGGGGGGGAAGGTGCGACCGGCGAAAGGCAGGCGGTAGGTCACGGGATCGGTCTATGACTCTTGGCTCAGATCATGATTGGTCTAGCTCTCCGGTTAACTCCACTTTCCCCTCCGGTCTGGGCTTTACGCTCTTTGTCTCTGATTGTGTGGCCAGTCCCTTTTTGGCTTCAGGATGGACTTTGAATCCTTGACTATTGCTTCATTTTTTGAGGTTTTTTTCCATTGCTCTAGAATTGTTTACAATTGAATCCCAACCCATCTTCAAGACCAAAGAGGTTACGAATTCCAATATATCCCCATTCCTGGTGGCGGAGACCAGCCCAGATATGATTGGTCATTCCTGCAGCCGTTCACAGCCAACCATGGGTCAGGACGCTTGGTGTGGAAGCAACCATGGAAAGGCTATCTAAGGCCCACAACTACCAATTGGGAAATTACCTCCTTTGGAGAGTAGAGACAATATAAACATCGACAGGTTCTGGAGTATGGAGTATGACTTGCTTCGATTCCAAATCACTCGGTATAGTATAAGGGTTGCACAGCAGGTGACACGGGGCACCGGGCCATCTCATTCCATTCCACTTTCAAATTCCAATTTCGCCACTGGGATCCTGATACTCCTCATTTGCTCATCTTCAGGGCTGAGATTTGAGGAGTCCCTGACAGTGCACGAGTATGATTCATCTTTTGCCTCTTGCCCGTGGGGATCGACGTGCACATGATATACCTTAGTACTCAGTCCAGACATACAAAACTACCCTCAACCTCGTAAATACATAGTGTAGAATGCTTCTCCTTGCCTCCTGTAGATTGCGCAATAGCTCTGGCAAGTGCTCCAGGTTGACACGCCCGTCCACTGGGGTTTGAGTGGGACAACTGAATTCTCATCAACGCATAATGTGTTCCTCTTCTACTTAAGTGTCATGGCATTCTCATGCCTGAACTGATGACTTCCAAGGTCGCAGACATCCACAATCTACTTCGTAGACCAGGTGTCATTTGTGCCCCACGGCACTACCTGTAGTGTAGCAGTATCTGAAAATGTTTCTACCAACCATCCGTATCCACCTCGGGAGCTCCGAAGGCTGTCACCGTTTGCAGCTCGTGTTGGCAATCGTCAAAAGCATGAACAAGCAACCGAAGCCGAGAAACGTGCGGGCCGATCCGAGAGACCCTAGGCCCGAAACAGCAGAGTCCAGCTCGGCTGCCTCCGACCTTCTGCATACTCTCTCGTACGTGGGCAAACAGGATTGAAAGGGAAACTGATCATATTCTTCGCATCATGAACAAAAGGTTCAACGCTAATCACCAACGGAGACCGCAAAGTGGGTCTGCAGTCAAATCTATTTTTACAGAAATATGCAAGGAGGACGGGGAGTGGCTTCTCCCTGAAGCGCACACGTAGGGGAAAAGAAAGTAAGGGAAAGAAAAAATAGAAAGCAAAAGCCACTGATCAGGCGAGGCAGATCTCAGCCAGGGTCTGGTCCAGGGAGAGCACAGATAAGATAATAGGAGGGCAAAACCACAGAACATTTCAGAGATGGAGTACACCGTCAGGATATAGGGAGCAAGTAAAGTTGCCAAGTTCCAGCACCGCACTCGACTCCGTCAATGCAACGCCGGAAAAAAAGATTGGAAGCCAGAGGATGTGGAGAGAAAGCCACGACCTGTCTCATCCACTAATAGAAAGAGCCCTTGCGTTTGGCGAATTGGCAAGTCGTATGAGGCTGGTGTCGTGAGGTCGGGTCAAAGAGGAAAATGGGTGATATTTGAGACAGAAAAAAAAAGGAAGAAATAGAGGAAAAAAAGCTAAGAGGTAAAAGAAGGCCGAATCATGTGCAATGAAGTGAAATAGTGCGGAACAGTCCCAAGGACCAGCCTTAAGTGGTGGAGCAATTTGTTTATTGCTGTTTGGTGCCGCGAAGGTAATGATCGCTCACACCACCACCACCGCCGCCCTTAGGACCGAGCCAAACAATTTCAATCACGCTGTGGCCTTCATCTTCCTCGCGCACGTAGAACTGGTGCACATTGTCGCCGACAACAAAGGCGTCGCGCAACAACCACCGGTCCTTGGCAATGCCATCTTCCTCTGCGGGACGCAGGGGACCCAGACGGTCTTCGTAGCCGCGAGGGTCTTCGGGCCAGGTCTTTTCAGTGGCATCAAAGTTGATGGCGTCATCTGCCACATGCTCGTCGTATGTATATTTCACCAGGGAGTAACCGTTGGTCATAACCCAGAAGTGACGGAGGGTCTCTCCAGTAGCGCTGTTGACAGTCTCTTCTTGATCGAAGACCCAGCGGCGCAGAACAGACTTGCGACCGGCGGCAGCAGAGACAGTGGTCATCTTCACCACATCTTTGCTGTACCAACTGTTCCAGTGGTGCATAGATTCGATCTTGCGGCCAGACTCGTAGACACCATCCACAGGGTCGGCCATATCCATCTGGTAAAGCGAGGGCCACAAAGTCAGGGGAGTGTCGCCAAAGCGCTGGATACACTGGCCGAGCTTCTGGTCACCAGGCTGCTCACCCCAGGACTGACACTCATCGTAGTGCTTCATCAGGACATCCAAAAGAGGCTTTGACACGAACACACCAGCACCACCGAAGGCGATGTGACCGAATGTGTCTACCTGCCAGCTGGCCTCAGACAATGATCCAATGTAGTGTTTCTTCTTCTCGTCAAAGAGCTTGAGCTCTTCGGCGATAGTGGGGAGAGAAAGGAAGAAGGTGTCGTCGTCGCTGAATCCAACCCAGGTGGTGTGGGGGCGGTACTTGCGAATGTGCTCGGTGAAGGCCTCAACCATACCGAAGTAACGGGCAGTGAAGTCGAGGGGAGAGGCAATGAGAGTCAGGTCCAAACCGCGGTTGCGGAAGTAAGTCTCCTGCTTGTCCAGGTCGTCATCAGATTCGGGGACCAGAACAATCAGGCCAGCCTTGGTGTTTCCGTAGGAGTAGAGCAAAGAGGGGAGCAGACGGTCCAGACGGTCGACAGTGGTAGCCAGGCCAAACAGGAGCTTGGAGGTTTCCTCGACGTCGTCATCAGCAGCCACATCGACATCGATGATTTCGGGGCAGACAAAGTTTTCCTCCTTGTTCTCGGGAGAAACAACCATGCCGCGCTCCATAACAACCATGGGTGGGAGAACGGGCTTCTCAATTTCCTCCAGGGTGTGGAACTCGGTACGGGGGTTCACATGGCGAGGGCGGAAGTAGGCACGGGTGTAGTTCTTGCGAGGAAGCCATTCGGGGAAAGGCAGTGGGGCGGCGAGTTTCGGGTCAGCTTCACAGGTGGCGTGGCTGGGGGACTGCGAATCGGGCTGTCCTGTGTGTTGCACCTGAGGCTTACTGCTGGCAGTTCCAGACCGATCAACAGGGTGCTTGAACCGCAGGAATGCAGACCGATCATAGCGTTCCATGCAAAAGAAGAAGATTCCGATTGTCACTAACGCGAGCAACGGGAAAATTGTCTTCAATCTAAATAGAGGCATTTTGGCTCTATTGGTGGTCGCCGCCGATTTCTCAAACATGTAAGAAGAAAAGTAATTGAAAACTTGGGCGTGGGAGCCCTTTGGGGGAGATTAAAAGTTATGGGCCCGGCGAGCGGAGAGTCGTAACTCCGGCAAGTTCGTGCAGCGAAGCTGGTAGAGGATTCAGACAGATTCCCGGAGGAAAGAGTCAATTAAACGAATGTCCAATAGTTCAATGAGTGGCAGGCAAGTTCAGTGCCGAGTATTTCAACGAGAGGCTGGTAGCGTCGGGGCCTGCGACACGGTCCAAGGGATGGCGTCGAGAGGGGGGGAGGTAGTTGTGAATACAAACAAGACGGGCTGGACAATGCGCCCAGTCCGAGTGAATAGTCGATGAGAGGCTGAGAGGCTTGAGGTGTTGAAGGAGGAAGAAAAAGGGAGGGCGGCCGAAGTAATTAAGACCAGTGACGAATGAGGTGTGTATTGGTATTACCGTAACCTATCGGCTCAGCGGTTCACCCTTTTTTCTTACTTCTTTACTTCTTTACTCCGTACGTTTATATAATTTATACAGACTCTTAAGAACCCTTCTATCGCCGTTTTGAATCCGGCATTCTGGCTCCGGTGTCATTGCAAGTTAACCTCATTATCTCGGTATGCGATATTGTGGACACCCTTCAACCCGCTTGCGGTGTTGATGCCAAGTTCAATGTTGGTATGCAGGAACGGAACATTTGGATCTCAGATTTATTTGTTGCATCGTATTATGCATGGTGCTTCGCATGGGCTCTTCGCTTCGCCTCTTTTTATGTATCTCTTTTTATGTGTATCTGTTGGGTATCGCCGATCATGACGAAACAGGGAATGCTGGCTGGGAAGTGATCATCCCAACGCGAAGTGGTGATCCTGTACTCCGCGGAGCACTCAATGGGGACCGCAATAGAGTACAGGGTGCTTTTTCCTATCTTCCTGTTCAACCTGGGCGCAGGTGAGGTTGTGCACTCGGAACTGGCCAGACCTCAAGGGTTGGATGCATTTCCCAAAGTTGAAGAAACCGTTTCCGGCAGATTTTCGGATATGGCGCTGAAGACGATCAGGAGATTTGGAGAATGTTAGCCAGAACCCTCGGCTGATAGACCCGGAAGGCATATCTCGATCACAGCTCAGGGGTCCCTCGATTGTCTACAGAACTCATAGTTATATAGGGATGTGTTGAGATCTGAGATCTCTATAGTTCCCAGTACGCACTTGTATCTTAATACCATGAGATACCGTCAACGCCCTCGGCATATTGCACCACATCTTGTAGGACAACTCCGTAGCTTCAGAAAATTAGGCAATATAAGCGACTCCAAAGAAAGAGCAAACATCCGAACATGCCGAATTGTGTCTCTCATGATGATGAGTATAAAGTGCTACATATAGATCACGTCACATAAGGTGTGCGCTTGGACCGTTCCAGGTCTACAAGCTCAGACTAATACACTTGACTACATCTAACTACTCGTATACGCATTTACAGTAGTTAAATACTTAACTCTACTCGTAGTACAGTAGATACAAGACCCTTGTAAAGACAATTTACAGTAAAGGACAAGTATGGGAAATGATCAGAAGGACGATCGCCCTGGCGCCCAGCCGCGTCAGCCAGTCACAGTCAGCCGGGGCAAACGAGGCCAACGCCGCCCCCCACGGACACGCGTCCCTTATTGTAGTATGGCACATCTGCCTTGCATTACTTTGTAGTAACATCGTCACTTGTTTCATGTTCAGACTTTGATACTGAACAACTGTAGAAAGCACACATCGCAAGCTCTCTGTACGAGTACACTCGAAAATCGTATGAAAGCCTCTCAATGTTATCGTGGTTTGGTGGCGATTGGCCTTTCAGCCCATGGATTGCCTCGTCGAGTGGGCCAGGATCGACAAAATGAATATTAAACTTGAGCCTGTGGTTTGGTTGTCCCTTTTTCTTCCACTTTTTTTTCGTCTTGAAGGCGACTTCGTAATGCGCGTCATCATCGTTCTATATATATTAATTGGATATGTAACGTACTGGGGCGATTCTTTCGGTATTTCGTACAGACTCCAGGATGTTTCAGTTAAGTCAATCCCATTTCACACGACCCTGTGGAGATCATCCACTTCTGCCCTGACCCGTAGCCAAGACGGTTTGCGACGTTAGACCTGAGGCATTTTAATCTGAATAATTTCGACACATGCGGTAATCACCGTGGTCGCAGTTTTATCTTGATACTTTACTACTTAGTACTCGTAAAAGTCATCTGGTCTGATGCCCAGGTGTTTAAATCTATATTTACACTGGGTGTCGCATGCGCCTCAGTCTTACGAATCCCTCATCCCTGCAACAGTGGGAACGGGCTATAAACGGGCTAGAAGTGGCATTTTAAGCTTGAATGGTCGCCTTGGCGCTGCTGTCATTGCGGTCAGGGTCTTCGAGGTAATGTACAAGTAACTAACTAGTTATGGAGTATTGCTCTTACAGACCCTGAAATTTCTAGAACCCCAAGTGGGACCAGAGCCCCTGACTGCTAGTACATGTGATTCTTTCGATCTTTATTGTGCCGAAGCGGGGGTTTCAGGGACCAACGAACAATATGTACTTTTCTATGGGGATTGACGCGTTGCCTGAACATGACTCCAAGTGTACTTCTATATACAAATGCAGTACCCGTAATCTGCTGAAGCAACATGGATGCATCTGGAATAGGGGTGAGCTCGCCATCCTGGGCCGTTAACGCGTCTTAGCATGGGAACGCAATCTTAAACCGGGATATGGCTCCGCTACTGTACACTGACTTCAGTACGGAGTACCCATAGTTGGTAAATGCTAAGCTTTGGTTGTACATTAACCTGTGTTTGGCTGGTTTGGCTGTGACAGGTTTCAAATCTGATATCTTATCGCCAGTTGATACCATGGATCAAAACTTGGAAGCTATATACGAGTACGAGTGCTGTGTACGAGTAGCCTCATTGTAATAGACCTCGGGACTGAGCTGAGAATTCAAGTCAGACAGCCGGTGGACATAACTTGGCGAAAGGGTTTTACCTATTTACTATCACTTCTCCCGTCCCCGTACACTTCCTAGATCTGCTCCAATTGAAGCTCTAGAGGTTCCAACTTTAGAAGGTCGCAACCACAGTCAATTATTGCGATAAGAAAAATGGGCAACACGATCAAAAAGTTCGACTGACCGATCTTTAAGCTCACCCAATATTCCCAGTCAGGGGTGTCCACTGTGTTTTCTCAAACTACAGATATACTGCATGCTCTGCGGGCACGTTGAGTGCAAGCTAACTTGTAGACATGATGGCAATATTCTCACCTGCACTCTACTTAAGTACTATAACCCAACATCACACTAACCTCCCATTCTTTCACCTGGGCAAGTTTCGTTCATTAGTCATCCTCTTAGGACCCCGGGGCAGAACCGAAACGCTTGACTTGTCAGTTGGATTTCTGCGTCAACTATTAACTCAAAATGCCAGTCACAAGAAGTCAATCTAAGATCCTGGCCAGCCAAGACCCGAGCCCAGCACAGGAGAATCGGATCTCCAAGTGCTTGGAACGGGAACAAGACATGACAAGATCGTTCGTTGAATGGCTTGATCTTGACTATTCCCACAACTCGATCCTAAAGCAGAACGATACCGACTGGAAGCTCATTCTCAAGAAGGCGCGAGAAGCTGATGGCTGTCGCCAAATCACTTGGACAATTCCCGTGGAAAATGACCAGAGACTATGGATTATCATACGTAAGCTAAAATGCAGGCCCCGGGGCTCCCCCTAAGACAAGTCTACTCTAACGCGATGGGTCAAACCTTGGAAGACTGGTGGCGAAGAGCTCAGCGAGACGAGTTTCGCCAGTCGGATGCAATGACACAAACCATGAAAGAAGTCATCTTCTTACCGGATCCTGGATCCCCGGACAATTTCCACAGCAGTCTCAACGACAAGGCAATCTTAATTTATCAGTATATGTCTACCCATTGGAAATTCATAATGGATTGCTTTTCTAAACCTAGTCGTCCTGATATGATCTATGAGGTCTGGACGGTCTATTTTCCGGTTGAGGATATTGTTGCTATCTTGGAATCGAACCTCCATTCTAGATTCCCGAGGATGAGAAACCCCGGCTTTCTACCTGACGCATCAGAAGACCCTCTCGGCGCGATCTTGTTTCAAATCATCGCCTTGGTGTCTGGCGAAGTCGAATACAAAGGACGAAGCTGCAAGCAGATTGCGTGGTTTATGAACTGGAAATCGACTGGAGAGGAGAAAATCTTTAAAGAAATAGTGCGGTTTAGGAAAAATAAAGAAGAAAGGCCAGCAGTGATGGATGTGTTCATCAAGGAGCTACAGGGTCTGGGAATGCTGGGATATGAGTCCTGCCATGCTAAGTTTGAGGAAATTAAAAAATACACTTAGAAGAGCATCATGTTCTTGCATTATCTAGGTATGCAAGATCCATTGAATGCACCACAGTGCAACGACATATTTCAGAAACAGACTTAGTGAAGCTTCATACGGAGAGTGTGGGAATCAATAAAACTTTAGGTAGAAGGGCATTCCTTGCCATGGATTCTCCCATGAATTGAAACCTACTTAAGTGTTGTTCATTCCCGACTGGGCAATCAAAAGCCTTTGGTGTCTTTCATTGGTAAATGTTTCGCTTCAGCATAGCAAGCCAGTCTCTGAGTGACAGCTCTTTGTACCTGACCAGGCGAATTCTATATCCGGGCGAGTTATCAATACTAGCCTAGCACAGCAGCGGTATATTGGGTAGGTTTCTAAGCCATTTCAATTAGAACCCCGTTCCTGCAGCAAGAAAACGACCAAGAAGCCACCATGAGATCCATTGCATCACGCACGGCATCACTAATAGCCACTTGATGAAATTGTAAATCTATCTGGTCCAGCATTCACCATGCATGGGCGGAAAAATATGTTAGATAACGCGTGAGTTAGTTAGCCAGTAAGATTGCCACAGGGTGTTCAGATGATTCTGGTGTCCCCAGGTCTCTGGGCTGATCAAAGGACAGCCCTCGAATCGCTTACCTTGAAGTGCCTCGACGTGATCCAAGAACACGATGTCAATCGTGACCGGCTTCTGCGTGAAGCCTCTTTATCGAATTCGCCGCTCGACCCACCACGACTTTGACTCAACCTAGCGAGCCCAATGTGATTCATTGCAACTTTAGAACGGAAGCAATCAGAGGATGAAAATCCAACTTCCATAGTTTCCAGTCAGGTTTGAACCTCCGTGAGCTCAACGCGTCGCGGCGGCAAAGAATGTACACGCATAGCCAATATATCCACCTAATTCTACCAGAACGGAGGGTTTCTCATGAACCAATGTGCTAGTGATCTTGCTTTTTTCTGGGTCGGTGTTGATCAAGGATCAGAAGACGTCTTGAGAAGACTTCAGGATGGGAAAGGGAAAGGAAGGGTGCTGCTGTAGAACCTCAGGCTGCCAGGAGATTCACATTGTTCTCACTTGAGCTCCAACGAGCATCTAGTAGTCTATCTCTCCTCTTCCTCTGTACATCAATTCAGATCCACTATCTCCAATAGTAGTCTCGAGATCTACTCTAGGCGCACTAAGGACACAGCATGGATATCATCCACGCCAGCGGTATCCATTTCTCGTAGAATAGCCAGCACATACTTAGGTAAGAGTTCACGAGAAAGGACGCCTTAGTTTAGTGTAGCATATGGAGTTGAGGTGAGACCATTTCACTAACAAACCTTGGAATCAAATTTTTACCTGACTATATGTTATCAGCTAAGCGGTGATTTATGGGCAAAGAAAATCGAGGCATGATGCTGCATATTTATTGCTTATGTGCATCACTTTTGCTTTGGATTGTTTCCTAACTTGAGAACTACTTAAGTAGTTATTCGTTCTCTTCCACATAAGTGAGATGTGATACACTGGCACCTCACGTTCCGGGGAGAAAGGGCCACCCCGGAAACCCAAATTGTACTAATGAACCCACGTACTTAGATAGGTAGACATGTAGCTAAGCACTGGAGATATTTTAATGCACAGGGATTATGCCGACAGTTGAGAACTGCAGAAACAGTCTCAGACCGGTCGGCAACTCCGAAATAACGCCAAACACCTCCGCATTGCGCTAAAAAACAATCTCTCCACTCCAATAAAACCTCTGGGCCGCTCCTGAAATCCTGGCCTTTCTGGAATTTCTCCACATATTTTTCTTCGCCATGAGTTTCAGCACCGCGTCTGATTTTGATCAGGTAGAGTCAGGTTTCAAACCACGGAAGATCTGCGCTCATCTTCAACCAGGCCTACCAAAGCGTCCAACGCTCATTTGCAGCCGGAACCACCAAAAACAAAGAATGGAGACGTCGTCAACTCAAACGTGCTTGGTGGATGGTCGAGGACAATAAACAGCGCATCGCAGATGCCCTATACGCCGACCTGCACAAGCACTACCAAGAAGCTTACTGTGGCGATTGTAAGGGTGTCCAGGGAGATATTCTCCGCACCTTGGAGAAATTCGACGAATGGACCAAAGATGAAAGACCCTCGAGATCCGACCCGCTCAACTTCCTGGGACGCACAACGGTGCGCAAAGAACCCCTTGGTGTGACTCTCATCATCGGTGCATGGAACTTCCCTATCAGCCTCAGCTTACAGCCAATGGTTGCTGCCATTGCGGCCGGTTGTGCCGTGATCCTCAAGCCCTCGGACATGGCTAGTGCCTGTCAAGATTTACTAATGGAGATTATTCCCAAGTACATGGACAACGATGCGATCCGGTGTGTTTCCGCAGGGCCCCGGGAAATGGGATACATCCTGGAGCATCGCTTTGATCACATTTTCTATACCGGTTCCCCAAATGTTGCAAAGATCATCCATGCAGCAGCAGCGAAACATTTGACTCCTGTAACTCTTGAACTGGGTGGCCAATGTCCAGCCATCGTTGCCAAGTCGGCAGATCCAGATCTTACGGCCAAGCACATCGCGGTCACTAAATTCATGAACGCGGGACAGGTAAGCTTTGAATCTTTTGACCTGTTGCGAATCGACTAATCTCAATAGGTCTGCTTGAATGTGAATCACGTTCTCGTCCACCCTGTCCTACGAGACCGCCTGGTGGCCGAGTTGAGCCGACACTTCGACATCTTCCTCGGTGGCAAAGACAACAAACCAGAATACTACACACACATAATCAACGATCGGAATTTCGACCGTCTCGAAAACCTGCTCCAGAAGACATCCGGCAAAATTGTGTATGGCGGCCAGCGCGACCGCACAAGTCGGTACTTTGCCCCGACTATCGTGACAGGAGTCAAGCCCGGCGATTCACTTCTATCGGAAGAGATTTTCGGCCCCATCCTCCCCATCATCGACGCAGACTTCGACACAGCTATTTCCTTCACACGCAGCGGGGAGCACCCACTCGCCATCTACGCCTTCACAGCCCAAGAAGCAGACAAGTCTCGCATCCTGAACGAAACCCAATCCGGTGGCGTGACTTTCAACGACTGCGCTCTCCATGTCGCCGGTCGAGACGTTCCTTTCGGCGGTGTTGGGAATTCAGGCCAAGGTCGTTATCACGGCCCCCATGGTATTCTGACTTTTTCGCATCTCCGTACCCATACCAATGCTCTGCCTTCGTGGGTGGAATCTCTGATTGCGGCGCGATACCCTCCTTACTCAGTGGATAAGGCTCACAAGATGAGTCCGCCTGTTACGCCACCATTTGATCGGGATGGTAATGATACTACTGGTCGTTCTAAGTGGACTTTTGGATTGGGATTACTTGCATTATCTGGATTGATTGTGGCTCGGCAGGATCAGATTGTTGCCCTTGGTTTGAAGTTGCTTAATTAGTGTCTGTATTTAGGAATTGATTGACATGCCATCTCTTCATGTTTCTTGATTTTGATTGGTGTAATATCTTCGGCGGATCTGCTGTTTATTGTGCGGGGGAACACTGAGGGCTATAGATCGGCAATGTTGCACCGAACTTGCCGACAACTTGAAATCAGGATTCTTACTCAAAGTGAGGGATATCAGTGCAGCCCTGGCGTACAATTGATCAAATTGATATCTGGCAGCTCATCTTATATCGTTATGTATGGAGAAGTGAAGGAGGTGAACGTCGGCTGAAGTAGAGCCAATCCGGAGCATCGCCGGTGTTTTTGCCGAGATAAGCCACAATAGGTAAAGCAAACTCAACTAGCAAAAGAATGCCATGGAACTAGCCGAATATCTCAGGCTACTAAAGAGAGCGGGGGAGGGGAAAGAGCCTGAGATGTAGTCATAGGGTTGTCCTGAATTTCTTCTTTGCTTCAGTACTCTAACCAAGACGTCGCTTAATATTCACCATGAAGCTACCACTGGCCCTGCTGGGACTCAGTGCCGTTCAAAATGCCTGGCACGTCTCTGCTGTTCCACTCAGCACCTGGTCAACCAACTCAGGGGCGTCACCGCATGCAGTGGACATGTTCAATACCGCCATTGAGTGGAACGACAAGTATTGGGATGATCAAGCCGGCTATCTGATCACTTCAACATCTGGTAGCGGACGATACGATACTCGGCATTCAGCTTGGTATGCAACTCAATTACTTGCCAGAAACGCGCCGGGCGATGTTGCAAAAGCGGTTCGGATTTTCGACAACGTGATTGCTGGCCAGTACCTTGATCCATCTAAACAATGGTATGGTGACTATCAACATGCGCCTTCAGAGCCTGAGCCTGGGACACTGAAGTATCCCGATGATGGTCCTTATAGCTCGGTAAGACACGAATGTCGCATTGCATGTATTGTTTTCGACTGACCTTTCTAGTGGGATCCCAACATTCGAGACTTTGTGGGCTGTGCTTGGATTGTTGCTTTAGCCGACTATGGTCATCTGCTTCCAGCAGCGACAGTCTCAAAGGTGGAAAATTCGCTGCATATTGCTGCAAAGGGCGATCTGTACCGCGTTGGAGGGGTCGATGGAGATAACTCCTACCCATGTTATTCCAACCCCTGGATCATGCGAACGATTCTTCAGAACTGGGTAGGAGCACGGGTCGGAGATGCGAACCTGACCAAGTCCGGTGAGAATTTCGCTCAAGAGATTTACGATCTCTGGAGTATGCATCGGACACTTTCTGAGTTCAATTCTCCAACCTATGCGGGCGTGGCCATGTGGGCATTGGCTCTGTGGAATCAATATGGAACAAGTGGCAGTCTGTTGCAGAAGTTTGGACCGGAAATGCTCACTGCCAGCTGGAATGAGCTGGCACAACTCTACAATGCGAACTTGAAGAATCTGGCTGGTCCCTGGGACCGCACTTATGGTTTTGATATGAAACAATATGCTTCCCTTGTTGGTGCTGTGATTTGGGGTGTCGTTGGACGCGATCAGGCACCGGTTCCTCAGCAGGAACTGGGGATGTATCATCAAGATGACTTTGCCTTCTATCCATTATTCGCCCTTGCAATGCCTTCGATGGTAAAATATCTACCCGCGAAGGCGAAAGCAAACCTGCTCAAATTTCCTGGCGAGCATTTCTTCACATCCAAAGCTTACTCGCCTCCATTTGATACTTATCCGCGAAATATCACAGCTTGGGTCTCTGAGAATGTGACCATCGGTGCTGAGACCGTTGCCGAGACTGTTGTCGGGGGCCCCAGCATCAACCCTAGTCAGTTCAGCCCTGCCGTCATCCAATGGGCAATGGATGATAACCAGATTGGTTGCATCGCACACTGGGTTACGGAGTCATCCATTGATGCTGTTGCTGCTCCTGGGAGTCTGATGATTTCTTATCCGAACGCAACAGCTGACAATGGACCTGTCTCTTTCAATCTCCTCTTCAGTGGCCTGGATCTAGCCAATGGGCTCAATGTGACAGGTCTGGAAGGTCTTCCCGGCTTGGATCTCGAGATCTCAACCAACGCTTTGCCCAACTATACAATAACATACGACACCGATCATTCAGTCAACGAATTCGTCTTCTACAACGTCACGTACACGATGCCCGAGGCTTTCTCTGGGACGCCTTACATATCTCTCCGGGTAGTATGAGGCATGGACAGCAGTTCTTTTCAATTTGGTGTCCTAAATATCCGGGATATCGTTGAAGAGTCGAAATATTTGCATATAGAAGATAGAATGCTTAATCCTCTTTCTTCTGTTCCTCAGACTGACTTTCATCTTCTTCATCTGGCGGTGAATGCGTGAGCCAGAACCGTGTAATTATACCACCCAAGAACCGTTGATCAACCCATTTGACCAGGCCGTAGAGGACCCAGCCCCAGCCCCACAAGGACACGCCCATCATGCTTGTAACCAGTAAGACCGGACCGAGAATCAACAAGGAGAGAACAGCCCAAAGCAGTATCGAGACAGCAGCAAACACAAAGACGCCCGCCAAGAACACCAGTAAAGGCACACCGCAGCATATCGCCTGGCAAACGAGGAAGGTTGTGGCAGCGGGGCGCTTCAGTGCAGCTTCATACATTGCGGCTTGACGGGGTGGAGGAAGAAGCCAGGCGACTAGTTTTTGGACGAGGGACTCGAAATAGTCGAAGGCTTGAGGGAAAAGTGTAGAAAACCAGTTGGTCATTGTGGTCCATATTGACGAGAATGAGAGATTGTTGTCCACTCCTTGTCCTTTTTGCGGTGCATCGTCTGAAGGGAACTCTCCAGGGATGACAGGGTCGGTTAAATCTTTGGTCGTTTGATTTAACTGTTTGGTTGGCACATTTTTGGTTACTCCCCGTGTGGTTGATTCGACTTGGTTGACGGGGAGTTGCCCCGCGAGACCGGTCACGCTATCGAGAGGCATGGCGAGAAAGCTATTCTAGCGAACGAAGACTTCAGAAGATGAGAGTCAAGAGTCAAGGAGAATGAGATGACTTAGTAGCAGGAGGTTCATAGATGCCATGACGTATGGGGCGTTGTGCCAACATTTGAACTGGTTGTCGATATTAATTTTGCGTCACTCAGACTTCGGGAGGCCCCTGCGACTGGATCTTACTGTTAAGTCCTGGGGAAGTTGGAATCAGAGCGTGACGCGCGTTTAACAGTTTGAAAGAGATCATTGATTGCTTCAATTATATGTGTATATGGTCATTCAAATATGCTACGAATCATTGTCATGAGTGCCTTCGCGATCATCAAACATCATGAAATCATGATCTATATCATCTCCTACGACTTTCTTCCAAGCCTCTTTGACAATGCCAAGGGTATCATCTTCGAAGGCAAAGTCAAGGCTTGGTGGAGGGAACAGGTAAGAACCAGGACAAGATTCCTCTTGGAGAGGCCATTGGGTCCCGTCGGTACTAGACCGACCGCGCTGGGTGTATCGCATAGACCACAACACACGAACCGAAGTTTCAGTGGCAATAAGCCGTTCTAGGGCGATCTGCAGAAGAGACTGACCCTCGGTGCCAGGTAAAGCCACGCTGCAATAAACGACACCTGTAACATGGTATTAGCCAGTTGAACAACAAAGATGTTGGTGGATAAATGTTGGTGGAATGCTCGTGATCAGGTTGGAAAAGTTTTCAACATAGCAAATTCAGGCAATGTAGATAAGTTTTTTAAAAAAATCATCATACGAGACAGTCGGGCAAGGAGTGAGAGTAGGACACGGGATTGACTTACTCTGCTGATGAGGGCATTCGCCAGTGTCGCTGGAATGGACCTGAAGGTAAACAGATGGGGATTCCGGCATGCCCAAAGTATTACCCGGGAACATGAGGACTGCAGTTGCAGGCAATGGGGCGCCTTCGACTGCGATCGGGAACAGGGAGGAGAAGGTGCCTGATAGCACACTGACCGAGCGAGCAACCTCAATCAATGACTCGGAGTCCCCGGACTGCGATGCCGAAAAGAATAATTTAGACTGAACATCGCCCTCATTTTTCAGTGTGACAAGGAAAGGATTCTCAGAATGTTCGGGCGTTTCGCGCCACTTGCAGTCTACTACCTTTGTGCCCAGAGCGTATATACCCCCTCCCACAGCGGAGGCACGACAAGCAGCTTGAAGTATTTCAGGGGCTCCGCCATATTTGGCTATGACAGCTCCGAAGCCAGGACCAAGATATCCGATGGATGCTAGATGCCTCTGGATTTTGGGTATAGCATAGCTTGCGGGGGTATCCTGTTGAGTCTGCTGAGACAAAGACAGCGACAGGAGAGGATCGTGAAGTTCCGGCGGGACACTGAACTTGGAAGTCAAGTAATCCTTGAATGGCATAGATAGATCTTCGTCTTCAGACGGGCCTTCATCTTCACTGGACTTAGTGATGTGACGCAGGAGCCGCATGAGTGTCCTCTTGGACTTCATACTAATGTGAGACGCGGCGAACACATCCTCCCGGTTTCCAGGGACACGGTGAAAAGTCTTCTCCGCGCCTGGTTCACCACTGCCAGAGCCTGATTTCTCGGGTGTATAAATCCACCAGCTACCGACTGCCATGAACTCCAGCTGTCTGAAGACCTTGGATGACACAAGAGCGGACATTAGTTCAGAGCGGGCATGGAGAAAACACGGAGACAAGGACAAAGTGTACGCCCGACTAGATGCAAGCTTTGGTGTCTCAGAGCTTTCTGTGGGAGGGAAAAGGTCTAGTATTTCTTGTGGAGTCAAGACCGAGGCATCTCTGAATAGTGGGTGTCTGTCTGGGTTCAATCATGTTAGCCATATTGCAAGTAGTGGATGACATGAAGAGAACATACCCTGAGTGACTTCAGTTACCCATTCCTGGGCCTCATCAAGACTGAAGGCTGCATCAGGACCACCATAGTACTGGTTTGAGTCCATGTGAAGAACCTTCTTTCCAGATCGTGAGAGGGCCCTTTGGGAGAGTGTGAGTACTCGGCTCACATCTACCCTCTGGGAGATAACTCACAGTGCCAGTAGAGACTGGCAAAAGCCAGTCCCTTGGATGATCACATCCCAAGTTGTGTCTGACAGAGTTTCCATGATGTGACAGGGTCAGGAAGCTAGCTGCGGGTAAGTATAAAGGCCGTTACGGTCAAGTTCAACCCAAGCTCTCATGAAAGTGAGAATTGGGATCTGTGATGCAACTGAAGCATATCTGTCCAGGGGCTCACTAATGCCTGGAGAAGTTGAGGAAGAAAGAAGGAAGAAAGGGAAAAAATCGGAGAAAAACGCGGATGTGGGCGCGCGAAGGCGGTCAGCGCACAGGTCCCCACTTCACGAAACATTCATCCGTCACTGTCTATCAACGACACAGAGATGTCGGCTTTTATTATCATTCAAGCTGGTAATGTGCTCCTATAGCTCAGTTGGAGGATAATTTCCTATGTATTACAGTTTCACCACACATGGATGAGAATTTGGTGCCAGCTTTGCTGGTAATCCAGCTATTTCGTACCTCAAGCGCGATCTTGTTCTTTTCCAGGGCCATCAGCGCCTTCTCCGGACTTGTGAGTCTGCTCTTGCTCATGACTCTCGACTCCTCCAGCTTCATCCAGCTTCACATTCTTCAAAAACAGCATCACCACAAGCATCAGTGACAGCGAGACCAGACCAGCGATTGCAAGCAATCGTTGAGACTCGCGATAGCTTCGGTTGATGGCTTCGCGAGCGTCTGATCCCATGGCATACTTGCGTGCAACAACGATTGACCCAAAGATTGACTTAGCCTGGCCTTTCAACTCACTCGGGAGGTATTGCTGCAATCTGCTTGGCAGGGTGTTTCTCCATATAGCACCAGCGACACTATACAGAACAGCCAGTCAGAATAACAATCGCCAAAGCCTGGATGGCAACTTACCTCGTTCCAATCGCACCTCCCACACTCATTGAAGCAAAGAACACTGCGGTAACGACAGAGACGTCCTGTCTCGAGACCATGGCTTGTACTGAAACTTGAGCGGCTGTCTGATAAAACCCACGGCCTACGCCGATCAATGATTTCGCGGCCACAAAAGATGCCTCGTTACCACTCCGTCCATCTCCCATATCAACGAGGTAGAGAAGTACTCCCATGCCGAGGACGCAAAGGGGAACGCCAGTCAACACCCAGATCTGCGAGCGCTTGGTATATTTCATGAAGAAAGCCGCAAAGATTCCAGCAACTTGGAAGGACACTCGGAGAGAATTACTAGAGTTTTATCAGCATGAGTGTCAAGATGGCAACATATAAAACAAGGAAATGGGGGCTCGTACTCGATCCTGGTTGCCGACCCTGGCGAGAAGTTTCCAGCCACCTGCAGGTAGCTTGTGAAGAAGACACTAAACACCGAGTAGTGGAAGAAGTCTAACATCCCAAGAAGGCACGCAGCAGCAACTGTGCGGTTGTTGATCATGCGATAGGGGACGAATGGCTTTTTCGCAAACCATGCATCCCAAACAAAGAACGCAGCCAGGAAAACAACACCGAGAACCAACATCGCAATGAACGAGCCTTTGGTCCATGCTGCGCTGTTGTTGGCTCCTGTGAGGGACAGAGGAATCAAAAGCAAAGATAATCCGGCCACCAGGAGCGCTGCACCGGGTAGATCGAGTTGAACCCATAGTAGTTGGTATGCCTTTTCCCACCAGGTATCGGTGGTTTTCCAGCCTAGTGCCTCGGAGGCGGAAATTCGGGAGGGTGCTCGGCGCTGGTAAAACAGCATGGTTCCGATCAACGGCAATGATGCAACGGGCAACACAATTGCCCACATGCCCCATCCCCATCGCCACGTTGAGTGATCAAGGATACGTTGGGCGACGATGGTTCCGAGGTATAGTGTAGGAACTGTAGTGAGAGAATCAGGCAGTGTTGACCACACACCACGGTTGACCAAGGAAGTCATGTCTGCCACGAACACTTGCTGTGTGAGAGCAAATCCAGTTGATCCAATCGCTTCGAATATACCGGCAGCCTATATTAGAAAATGAGAGGTAAGCATCATTCCGGGATACAACCAGCATCAATACTCAAGTGGGAAGACACCGACAATGTATTGCGCGATATTTGTGCAGGCTGCGTAAATAACATAGCCAAGAACAGAAAGAAAGATAGATAAAATAAACATTTCTGCTCTGCCAAAAACCTAGTAACTTGAGTTAGCGAGGAGCTCTCGAAGCCTCAGAAAGACTAACATCTCCCAGTTTTGCAATGATAGGATAGGCGGAAATGCGGGCTATGTTCATGACCACCCGTGCGGCACTCATGGCTGAATGTTGCTTGAAAGCACTTGTTGTATATGCTGCATACACCTGTGTAGAGTAATCGGCGAAGTTGATAGCTAACGTGCACAAGAAAAGCCTACCCAAACCAGTCAGTTGAGATCCAACACATACATCATCCGCGGTCACATACCCCGTGAAGACAATGATTACGCCTTTCTTAGTCCAGCTTCTCCGAAGTATTTCAGCCCTTTGGACTCCGGCCTGAATACTGGACATGCTTGGTTGCTTTTCCAAACTGTCATCGTTGCTGCCAGCTTCAACATTGGCGTTATGCTGATCTGCTGGGTTTATTGCAACCGAGATATCTTCGTGTTGCTTGGCCATAGTTTTATAGGCCAACCTTGGAAGGCAGTATGATCTTTGGAAGAAATAGTTACAATGTATTCAACAGTGGACCTCGGACTCCAATGGAAGATTTATACAGCGTGCTTCCAGATTTTACATTGGATCATGGAGCGGCATACACTTGAGCAACTGAACTCAATCTTGGCCGCGCCAAGTGCGTCTAGCTTGCAAGGAAATGATAATAAATTATCATGGAGAACTTGGGAATGCGGAACTCGCAAAATGTTAACAAATGAAGCTACTTCGCCCCACTCCGGCTTTCCCGAAGGAGTTAAGCATGGGGCCATTCCCAGATGGGAGGGCAAATTACCACGAGAGAACATCCATGGATACCTATAGCAATGAGACTAAACCCAATCTTATCAATCAGAAGATGGAATCAGTGGACAACTTCCAATCGTGGAAATTGACACGAGGACGACACGTTAGCCTCGTGTTCAGACTGTCTTTGTGTCGAATCAGATAATTCTTGCCAAGATACTACAAGGCGTGCCAAGGCCATCCGCAGTGGTACTTGAGGAAGGAATGGTCTCATTTCCGGGAATTATTATACCCGGGGAGAGCAAAGTCGACGGACCTACTCCGTACTCTGGGTCGGTATTATCTCGGTCTACAGGTGACATGCTCATGGATCCAAGTGGATATCTTGGATATCAGATTATCGGTCAGTTGAGCATACTGAATGTCGCACAGTTCGGTTGTTTTCGCCGCATGTAGCCTAACTGTATTCTAGTTGACCCACCGGTCAAACCAGGCTCGGGCCTCATTATGCTCCGTTGCCCAAAATGATCCGTTGCTGCTACCACAACTCTTTTGTGAGATACTCCTGGCTCGGTTGGAGTGCACTCAGAACATGGAGACTGGGTGGAAGTTCGAGCGCACAGATGGCTGTGTAAATAACATGGCAAATTGGACGGCTGTGAACAAGGAGAATGAGGAGTATCTGATTCAGGTCTCCTGGCCATTGGAATGGTCATCGACGGGAGAGCCACCAGCCGGGGAAGATTGTGTCAATGTGATGTAAGTAAGATGGATAAAATCCCCAACAAATGTCTGAGTCTTCGTGCAGATATGTAGTGGACGGAAACGCAATGGTTCTTTCGGCAACAGACGTCGTGCGGCGGCGACGAGTGCGTCACTCTGAAGGCATTCCGACTATAATTATCGGAATCTCCTACCCATTGACCGGTTCCGTGTATAGCCACCGCCGGAATCAAGATCTCACTCCGCCTTGCGAGGCATATGAACCGCTTAATGGTCCGCATGGGAATGCTCCGACACCCCAGTTTGGGGGTGCAGATGTGTTCCTCCATTTCATAACACATACAATTCACCATTTTGTGTTCTCATCAATATTTCCGCAGTTGTCAGTCCGGGAGACGGCTCTATTTGGTCACTCTTTTGGGGCTCTCTTCACGCTTCATGCCCTCTTCACAGCCCCTGCGAGCTTCGATGTTTACCTTGCGGCCAGCCCCTCGATTTGGTTCAATGGAAGCTTCATACTACAAGAAGAAGAGAGCTTCTACCGCATGCAAGAGTCACATCATCGACCAAAAGTATGGCTAGCCTATGGGTCTCTTGAACAATCTCCAAAGCCCCAGAGAAACCAAACGCAGGCAGAATATGAGAAACGATTGGCTGTGGCGGAGGAGCGACGTATGGGTGACAACTGTGACCATATGTTTGTTCGCTTGATGCAAAGTGGGCGATTACGGTCAGTTCTCAGAAGGAAGTATGAAGATGAGGATCATGGGAGTGTCATTGCAGGGGCATTGAGTGGTGCCATTTTCCATTTCCTTGATCAAGATGATGATTAAGATGTTGGTGCCTTGGATTTCCACAGAGTCTTCACACGAGACATATTGCAATTGACCAAGTACCCATGCAGCAAATGCAAGCAGAGTGATGTGTATAGTTCAAATGTTGCGAACAGTACATCCACTGCGGCCTCAGGCGTCATTCTTGCCTCAGGCATAAATACTTACTAAGCTTCCCAAAAAGGTTAGACCGCCCGGCACACTTTATGAACTGAAATTTCCCGCCCGCTCATTTTCTTCCATATGCCACTCCCAGTGTTCTGCACAGGATGAGCTACTAGACAATGGTAGCTTGTACTTTTTGGACGCGGACCTTCACTGGACTTCGTTTATGGGAGTGGCAGATAAGATTTCTTGTCACTCTGTATCTGCTGCTCTTGATGGAGACATTTGATGGAAGCGGTTCGTTTTGTAGTGATACATTCATAATCTCATTAGCTTGCTCTGCAACTTTGACATGCTGTACTTGGTTGTTCTACTCTGTAGAATTCAGTAGAGACTCGAGGCTTAGGTCGACCAAGGCAAGGTTGTTCAGGTAGCTGCTGCCATCAAATTGCCTTCTTGGACCGGGCGTGCCGAAGGTTGATTTCGCAACCCGTGTCAGGGAGATGCAAGTTTCGCTTTGCATGCGATCTCGTGTAATCCATGTGCTCGCGCTCCACTATAGCTTGTGGGATGCCTGGAATCACTCCTGTGCTCCTTCTTCCACCACTCGAGCCCGGAGGATCTTCAACTCATCCACTGGCTTGTCCTCCCCATTGGTCTTGACCAATCCCATGCGCTGGATGATGCGCATGCCACTCTTGACTCGACCAAAGATAGTGTGCTTCCCGTCCAGCCAGGGTGTTGGAGCGAGTGTCACGAAGAATTGACTGCCGTTGGTGTTCGGTCCGCTGTTCGCCATGCTGAGAATTCCTGCGCCCGTGTGTTTCAGTTCTCCGCGAATCTCGTCTTCGAATTTCTCGCCATAGATGGAGCTTCCTCCTCGTCCAGTACCGGTAGGGTCACCGGTTTGGACCATGAAGTTCGGGATGATACGGTGGAAGATCACATCGTTGTAATATCCTCGCTCGGCGAGTGTCGCGAAGTTCTTGCATGTCTGTACGGCCGGGCGTTAGATTGAGATACCTCAAAGCTATACGGAGGGGTGCTCATACCTTCGGCGCATGAGTGTTGTAGAGCTCAACAGAGAAGGAGCCCTGTGAGACGTTAGTGGTCATACTTCAGCATGAGATCGAGTAGAGCCTACCATAGACGTGTCGAATGCCACCTCGGTTGCCATGTTTAAGATGTGGTTGTTAACAAAAAGAAGAGTCGAGTTTGAAGGAGAAAGGCGGGATCGGCCAAAGTGGAGCTTGGCGCTGCATCATTTAAAGAATCTCCCAACGACATCCCTCCCCAAACAAACAATTCATGGCCATCATGGTCTAACTCGTTCTTTACTTGTATCTCAGCACACACCGGTAGTCATTCTCTCTGTGTTCTCATTATACCCAATCCCGCAGTCTGTCATGGCCGACGTTAGCCCTGTTGCGGAGCTGCTTGGACAGGCCTTCTACCATTTTGATCGCCTAAGGCCACTTCTGCCAACCTATGGACATCTGCTGGTTTCCGCTCTTTTTCCTATCTGGATAGGCTCACATGCGTCTTTGAGCCGGCCTTCATCCGCAGCAAAAGCTAGCAAGAACCATCTCTCGGAAGATGCCGATGACACGGACGAAGAAGAAGAGGGAACAGGCCCTTTGCAGAAAATGGAGGGCCTTGGGCCTTCTGATGCCCTTATCTTCCCTCTGACTGCAGGCCTCACACTTGGCGGTCTCTATATGGTTATCAAATGGTTGGAAGATCCCGCTATCTTGAACAAGATCCTCAGCTTCTACTTCTCTCAAATGGGTCTCTTCTTTGCTTTTGCTTTCCTCAAGGATGTGTTTTCGATGACTCGGTCATTTGCCTTCCCCAGGTATTATCGCCAAGGTGGTAAGCTGTGGAAATCCAGACAGTCTGAGCGTCGGTTCATCGCGCATGATAGTGATCCTTCGACCAAGACACCTTCTGTTCGCCATTCACCACTCCCTGGTATCTGGGGCCGAGTCCCACTCCCGGCATTCCTTCTAGGCTTACTCTGGAAATGCAGAGCGGCTTTGTACCAACGACTTAAGGTACGGGCGCATATACGTGGTCTATTTGACCTCAAGTGTCTCGTTGGCCTCCTGGATGTCCTCAGTGCCGCTATCGCCCTTTCGGTCGTCGGGTACTTCGCATTCGTGGATAAGCCATGGTGGTTGACCAATTTCCTTGGTTTCTGTTTCTGCTATGGGACACTGCAATTCATGTCCCCCTCCACATTCTGGACCGGCACTCTTATTTTATGCTCCTTGTTCTTCTACGACATCTATTTTGTGTTCTTTACACCTTTGATGGTCACTGTTGCGACCAAGCTAGATGTGCCCATCAAGCTTCTTTTCCCTCGCCCGTCCAACTCTCGTGACGAACCAGGTGTGACGCCACTGGCAATGCTCGGACTGGGTGATATCGTCATTCCCGGAATGATGATGGGACTGGCACTTCGATTCGACCTGTTCCTTTACTATCACCGCAAAGGCATCCAAAAGGCCGAGGCTGAAAAGTCGGATCAAGCCAGTGTCAAGCCTGAGTATCAATCGGCAACTGGTGCCTGGGGGGAAAGGTTTTGGGCACCTTCTACTAAGCCTCTTAACCAGGAACTTCAACCTCCGTATTATGATGCCCGGAAATTCCCAAAGACATACTTCAAGGCTAGTGTCGTCGGCTACATCCTTGGTATGGTCACCACGCTTCTCGCAATGCAATACTCGAACCATGCCCAACCAGCTCTTCTCTACCTGGTCCCAGGTGTTTTGACCTCACTTTGGGGTACTGCGCTCCTTCGAGGTGAAGTTCGCACAATGTGGGAATTTTCCGACGGCGAGGAGGTAGAAAACGAAGAGGAGAAGAAGGAGAAGAAGGACGATGATAAGCAAGAAGACGATGGGAATGAAACCAAGGACAAGTCTGATGACAAAAAGAGCTTTTGGTCGAGCCTTTTCTCCGGTGAAAACAAGCGCCCATCGAACAGCGAAGAGACATCCGAGACCAAGAAGGCCGATCAGGATAAGGGCAATGACTCCAAGTCCAGCTCGAAGTCTTCCAAGGAAGACACAATCTGCTCCAAGACAAGGAATGTCGCAAAAAGCGACAGTGACTTGGACCTTGTATCCTTTTCTGTGTCGATCCCCGGCAAAACCAAGAATAGTTCCACAGCCAAATCTGGCGACATCGCCGCGGGCTCTTCCGAAGAAGACGAACAAGCGATTCTCGTCTCCAGGGATGTCAATGGGGATGATGAACCACCATTGAAGAGAAGACGGCGAGGCATGACGAACAAATGATAGGATTATTATAGCTACGTACTATGGTGGTGGGCCTTGTGATCGACAATGGTAGCTAGGATTATGCAGTCCTTCAATACGCAATACACAACATCTCAAATATCTACTTTCATGCATTGCTTGCGTAGTTCAGGGTCAGTCAGGGAAACAACGTGTGTAGTGGTATCATTCATTTGTATTTCACATCAAATCGAGATCAGCATTGGTCGAGTATCCGCTTCATCTCGTGCCACCTCTTTGCGGAGACATCCACAAGCTGCCGCAGATCGTCACTATCCACAGCCCACCCACCGTGCTTCTCCATCTTCACAATCACAGTCTTTCCATCCTCGATATCAACAACAACACAAACCCTTTCCTGGGACAGACCTTCCTCGTACCCATCCGGGTCCGCCAAAATCCACCTTTGCTGAGACCCTTGCTTCTGCACCTGTGACTTCAGCTCATCGGCATTAGGAATGACAACAGATCTCCAGCCAGCAGCAGCATCCGCCTCAAAAGTGCAGAAACTGCTAGAGACAGGCAGACCCCGCAGAGACAGCTTCCGCGCATCGGCAATATTGTCTGAGCAAAGAACGGTCTCGTTATCAGCATCCCACCAAGCCTTGGGGAGTTTCGTATCACGCAACGCAGCCAAAACAGAGGCCCAAGCCGCATCGAATGGGTTTCCGGCCAATGAAATGATCATGATATCGATGTAGAGCACCCAAAAGGCCTTAATCTCTGGTTCCGGTCCTCCAGTCTGTTCTGAATCAACATCCATTCCCTCGCCCGCATTGCGGAACTCTTCCGGCTCCAGATTCGGTGGCTGGTACCAGATGCGCAGGTCGTCCGCTTTTACAAGACGGGTGGTGTGCAGGAGAGAAAGAATTTCGTGGGAAAGCGATTGGGCCAGTGAAGAAGGTGGTGCACCTGGTGTAAAGCCTGGAGCACACCCAGTGCTCAGGGAAATATTGGGAACAAGTAGGTTCAGGTCTTGTACGTGGTCGCGATCTTCCTCGTCTTCAGTTTTGGAACCACCCTTCTGGGATGTGTTTCCGGCCTCTGCTTCTGAGGCAGTTGACACACTCCAGGAAGCGATGTCTTCTGTGTGTAGAAGTTCCGCGCGCACACCGCATACAGCGGCTGTATCGCCGATGCGCACGACTGCGCTGCCATTCGTGTGTGTTAAGGATCCGGCGTTGGCAGATGTAACACGGAATTGAGATGTGGCACGGCCATTGGCGCGGACTGACGGCTGATCGCTCGCGGCTGGAGGGGAGAGGTGGGCGAGAAGGTAGGCGTGAGGTTGGAGGCGAGCGAACTGGGATGGAGGAAGATTTAATGACGGGATGGCCGGGTTTGAAGCAGCTGCGGAGGAAGCCATGCTTAAAAACACTCAGACAAGTTTTCGCAAGCCTGATAATTGGATAGTCGAGGAAGCAGAAAAAGCCGACGACATGGAAGGGCAGAATAATTTCCACCAAAAGGCGGTAGGAGCTTCTTTGGTGCCTGAGGTGTCACTGTGATCAGCCCCACTACCAACCCCAGTAAACCTAACTGATCTATGTAGCAAGTTACAATTTTGTCATGCCAGCAGATGTTAACTCCAAATGTGGAACATGTCTGTTTTACTACCTGAAATCTCGTTCTGAGAACGCGTTACTCAAACGAATCGGATTGTGAACCCCTTATAAAGGATTAGGTATACCCTCTCTCTCCACTCGCACCTATTTTCAAGTCTCGAGGGATAAAATTAGCTAATATTACATATTCTTCAAGAGTATTGCTCTTCTATTTACCACAACTCATGACGCATCGTGGTAGAGCCCGGTGCCTCCTGGGCGTGCTTACCCGATGGCAGCTCATTCAGCGTGTCAGTATTGAGTTCACTCAGACCATGCGATTTCGTTCCATCCTGAGACATCGGATGGATATTGGTATACTGACTCATGGCAGTAGATTGAGCATTGCCTTGCCTCTTTCTGCGGCTCGTGCATAGCCAAGCAATCAGCCCAATGAGTCCCAGTCCGCCAGCGGCACAGCCAATACCGATTCCAGCCTTTGCGCCAGTCGAAAGGCCTGAACTGGAAGTCGATTGCTCTTCTGAGGCCTTGGATGAGATAGGCTCCCAATACCCATCCCAACTGGCTTCCCATGAGTTTTCGGAAACCTCCACTGACTCGTCGTTGACTCCGATTGATCGTTGGCTGCCGGTTCCAATCGCTGGACCAGGTGCTTGAGCCAAAGACCATTCACCACCTCCAGTCGCATTCTGCCAGTTGACGCTGATGAAGGCTGCCTGAAGAAATGCCCTTCCGAGAATCAATGTGTCTGATGGGTAGCACGGGAAATAAGTCGTGTTCTTTTCCACAAGGGGTTCTTGAAGGGTGAGCTTCAGGAGCTGGAAAGGCACTTTGATGGTCATATTTTGACTGTTGCTTGTGCTTTTCCCAAAGACAAAGGACATGTATGCCGGAGAAGAGGTGATTTGCTGATACGTATCGTTGTTCGTGTCCCAGAAATAGAGATTCAGATCTTCGTTATAGGTGATTGGAAGATTGGCCGCCATTTCGTCACACGTTTCTCTTGGGAGATATAAGTATGGGAGAACGGGATCGATTTCCACAGTCGCTCCTCGAGTGGTAGTGCTTTTTCCTGTTTTAAACAGACTGGATTTGGATTCGAAATCAAACGGCGAGTCACCCGCCGCAACACCAATCCCGATGTCTTCGAAGTAGATCTTGAGATTGCCCAAATTGCTGTTAGGATCAACCTGTTGAGTGCTGACTTCGTTCAAGACTCGGCTCCGGTCATAGCCACCAAGTACCAAAGACCCAGGGATTTCAGGCTCTACAGACCCGATATGCATCCCCCAGGAATACGACGGAATCTGTTGAGCCGAGGTATGGTCCCACATATAAGCTGTGACCATATTGAAGGTATTACCCTGCACGACGTGGGTCCCTTTGGTACCTCCCAGTGACAATGTGCCCAAAGTGACCGGATATTCTTTCCCATTGTTGCCGTATGTTTGATTGGCTTTATATATTGACGCGATGGAGACATTAGGCACAGAAAATCCGTTCGTCAGAGTAAGCTCGTCGGCGAGGACTCCTTCCTTGACATGTCCAACACCGCCCCAGACATTCACACCTGCTTTGGTCTGTTCAGATAACCAATCGAGTTTGCTTGTGTCGTTTGGAGTATTCAGTGTGACAGCAGTGTCCGAGGCGCTGATGTCGAAAACACCACCTCGTTCTGCATAGCAGGTTGTCGAAAGGTCGTCTGAGCAGACAGTGTCGATGAGTATCGTACTTGCCCAGCGGTCACCGGGATAGAGGTCGATCGCCTGTTTGGCAGATCCCAACGTGACTGATACGGCATGCCACGGGCCATCTGGGCCATATGTTTTGTCCGACCATTGGACCACGAAAGGCGATTCAGCATAGACTGGGACCACAATGGCACAGATCCAACAGATGGAAAGCTTCATGGCGAGAAGGGCCATCGAGGGGATTTTCCCTTGTAGCTTGACTGAGAAGAAAGTCACAAAACATCTTCTGCAAAGAGCGATGGGAGCCAGTGTGGGGGCCAAATTGGATCGTCATATTTAGAAACCCAGGTGAAGGCGCTTATGCAGCGGCCATATCATAACTAATGGGCTATTGCAGCCCCTAATCATCCAATCGCCGCCCTGTATCAAGTGGGGAATGCTTCAATCCGTCCAAGTAGGGGACTTCGTGCAGCCGCCGGCTCACAGATGATACTCGTCCTATGTAATCTCCCTGCAAGGCTCGCTGAACCGCAGTGGGGTTCTTACACCCCACGGAGCTCCTATGCAGTGCTCTGTGGGCACCATCCAGGCTAGAGACAGTGCGTGTGGTGACTATCATAGTTGCTTTCCCTGCCTATATGGAGAGGCGCTCAAATAAACACCTGAGTAAACCATGGAGTTCTGAGATGTTCCAAGGTTTCGGGTGGATCAGCACGTTTGTCCCGCCGACAGGGAAACCCGTTGGCCTCTAATTGGACTAGAACATAGACCCAGACCCACATAGCTCGAAAGACTCCACAAAAGGGTCAACTGGCGCAAAGAAGGCACACGAGGGTAGAGACAATCATTGAGCGACTGGCAATTTGTACTTGCAGTATCTTCAATATCAGAAGACCACATTCTGTACCTGTATGAAAGATTTGATACAACTTAGTAAAGAGGATAGTATCTTTCTTCGGAGATTTGGAGAGGGGAAATGATTGAATGCACAGACCTCTTGACGAACATTGCGATTTCAGCGACCTGCAGCAGCCGGGCGGCAACGTTCTAAGTTTTATGTACCTTGAACTCGGAGCCTCAACCCACAGCAGAGGACAACTTTAGAAGTGGCCATGCGAATAATAGTGAGTTCAAAGTGTTTGGCCATGCCTAGGCTTCTGTTTCTTTTGTAGAAGGCAAACAATACAAAGTCTAACAGCATTGGGGGGAACGCCTGATCCGCAGAGTCTAGATCCATCCCCATAATCTTGAAACTACCTGGAAACTACCTTTTTTCTGCAGCATAGCCGATCTAGTAAGAGACAATCAGTTGAAACGAGAATTCTGGGCAGCCGAGAGCAAATGTTGAGGTCAAATTACTGGGTTTTGATGAAGCAGATGATCATGCTACATAGACGCCTCTGCGAAACATTACTTGCCTGGCTACTCCCTACATCTACTTAAGTATGGATAACCTACATTTATAGATATGAACCACCTAGGTAACTACTTAGTACTTGAGCAAGGATCTGTTGCACAGAATTAGGATATTTAGCTTCCATGAGCCACCTGGGAACGTCCTGAAGTCTCTTCCCCAGAAAGCTATGTAAATTACACCACAATCACCTACACCGGGCAAGGGTGCCCAGGTGCCCAGGTGTAGGTGAGTGCCTAGTGCGCCCGAGGAATATCAGCACCCTCTCTGCCTGATGAACGTAATTTTCTCAACGACCTTGAAAAGCTCATTCCCTATTTACTCTGCACTTTCTGCAGTAAATAAAAAAATACAATCCCAAGTATTCAATTGGCTGTGCCCGTATTAGTTCATACTGTAACGACCACGTTCCGACACATGTATAAAATCCCTTCCGGTCTACTAACTAGATCGAGCCGATCGAGGGCTTGATCGAGATTGCCTTTCCATCGGAAATACTCTTTACTCGTCCTATTGAACCCGGAGTCATTACACACATAGATCGACCACCCCCCCCTCCCACCAGCCATCGCCCTTTGCCACGTCAGAGATGGAAGGTACAAGTCTAAGCCCTTGACTGTACAGCATCGTACTCTGACGTGTTTTGCAAGACTTGAACAATTCATACTTGCATGTTCCCTGTTTCTAATGTACATAAAAGGCAGGACCAGTTACATTGTTGATCTCGACCTCTGTTTTCGCACACTTTCACCCAACCGACATGTCGATTCAATTTCATTTGTGATTGGGAGTCGATCAGCTTCCGAAGAAGCCGATAGTAGACGTCACCAATATCAGCATCAATTGTGCTCAGATGCATTAAATACCTACGGAGATGCTGGTCATTGCATTTCCAATATTGTAGAAACTACGAGGAGATATGCCTTTTACTCGGTATTGGCACATGGTATTAGATGCGTATAGATCATTTACAAAATAACGATGTCTTGAATTCTTGTGGCGAGCTGAGCGGATCTACGCGAGAGCTGAAAAGTGGATACTTAAGTATACTCGTACTATGTACCCCCCTTGGACTAGAATTAGGCAAACGCATGCAAGAAAATGCATGCAGGTTAGCGACTAGCGCGATGTATTGTATGGTATTTATCCTAATAAAATCTCTCACTAAGCTGTGTAATCTGGGGTAAAATTACTAAATTAAATACTAGCGGTAAGTGGCGCTTGCATTCGGCTTTGCCAAATGTTGGTCCAAGGGAAGTACATACATACTCGTAGTCAACAGATTTGACCTACACTGTGACGTAGCTCATGCATCATCTGCACTCGTTGCATCTCCATGTAGAGAGTCAAGATGTACAATGCAGAGTAAAGAATGCAAACACAGCTCAATAGATCGGTCAATGCAGGTTGTTAACATCTCGTCCTAACAGCATTCGAAGAGTTCCATATTCCCATGTAGAGCTCACGAACTTCTCAGCCGAACTACAGTATGGACAATCTGTACAGAGGGTCTGGTATGCGCTGTCACTAGTCCAAAAGTAGTGCGGATTTCCATACATGACGTCGGTCATTCAAATGCAAAGATATAAACCCCGTAGAAGATTCCTTCTTACTTAAGTACTTAAGTACTTTCAACTTCCTCAAAAAATCTGTCTTCATTCTGACCAAGCTTCTGCTTCAATATTCACAATGCCACGAATGTGTAGCCGCTGTACCTTCCCGATCGATGAAAATGGTGAACACACTTGCGAAGATGTATATATTACCAACATCGACAAAAATCAACCCGTGAACACATGTGTAGGTAATCAAACTCCCAACCCAATTCTCCAAACTAAATCCAACTTTAAGACTGAATGCCGAACAACCATCCCGAACACTAGGGGTACCTGCGATGATTGTTTTAAGACAATGATTGCGAACGAAGGAAAGACAATTTGCGACGTATGTGGATGAGAGGACGATTTGAAAATTGATTACTGACAGATCAGGGATACACCAATGGAGAGGGAGTGCGCCGGCAAATTGGATGTAACAAACCCATCGACAAGACCGTGGTAGGTTCTGGAGAATGCACATGGAAGAGTCATGGCTGACAGTTCAAAGCATGCCTGTTTGATCTGCCGCCGTGCTGAAGAGGTAATTCTCCGTGTGAATGATGTCTAGTACTTGAAGCTGATGTTTTGGATAGGATGAAGCAAATGGTGTTCCAGGTTACTACTGAATAAGAAAAAAGGGATTGATCTCATCACTTGGGCTAGTTTAGAACTTAGAAGGGATTGAGTCAACCGATGGAAATTTCGAAGAGGACAGCAAGTCACTGTAGCGATGTGGAAATATGTCAACTCCAGACCAGAACTCCCAGGAACACCGGTAGGCAGTGCGGTTACCACATTATTACAAAAGAAAAAAATATATAGCACGTCCCAATCATACAAATACTTAAGTAATTATCACAACACTTATCATACACCCCCCGGGGCCTCGACACACTAATACAACCTTCTCAAGTTAGAAATCACAAAACTTCCTTATGGATCGAACGTCTATGCGCCCTTATGTTCTCGCGCCGGCTAGTGGCATGACTGCACCAAGGACACTTGAATGACTTTGGATTGACATGCTGCATCTCAATATGTCGCATCAAGACTCCTTTGCGCGAGAAGGTGCGGTCGTACCGACAGCCTTTCCATTCACATTTGAAGGTTCCTATTTCGTCACTTATAAGAGCATTGTTAGATCTTTGCATTCGAGACAACAGGATGTTGAGTATAGATACCTTTTCTCTCTTGATGGACGACGAGAACAACATGGCTTTTTGCATTTTGACGAGCAGGAATCGGTAAGATCACCCACTTGATCGACCTTGGTATTACGTCGAGGATACGATAGACGGGGACTCTGGTGTGCCGGGAATTCAGGGAGCTCGGATTCGTAGGAGCTTGTAAGGAGATTAGGCACGTCATGCCGTTGGCCTTGGCCCCCGGGGGGTGAAGGGGGTCCGGGATGATCTTCGGTGGAAGGTCTCCGGACGCTAATTGGCTCAGAGATAAAGCTAGGAGACGGGATGCTTCCCAAAGATCCTGGTGTGGAGGGAGGTTGGAGCCCGTAGCTTTGGGTGGTGGCTGTTGATGATCTTCTCCTCGTGGTGGGTGGATCAAATGATGAAAGCATGCTAAGAGACTGGGTCCCTTTGAAGGAATTTGGTCTGCAGTCCTCTATATCGATGCTTGACCATTCATATCGGACTTCGGGGGCACAGTAGAATTCATCGCCGTAGCTAGGAAGAGGCCACTCCATTATGCCGATGGTGATATTTTGGAGGGGGAAAAAGTAGTGAAACTGGACTTTGAGATTTGTGATTTAAGACAAGGGTATTGATGAATGCAAGGATTGCAGATGAGATCAAGTATTTATAAATTGCAAAAGCTAGAATCCCTCTAACCAGGTAGCCGGGGGCTAGCTTCAATTGAGGATAAAACAACTAAGCTCTAGAGTTGAGATGAAAGGTTCGGCACCAGGGCGCTTTTGATAAGCGACACTCCACATGTTGAGAGTCTGATCGCCGGTGGATCACCCACACGGCAGTTTGGCATGAGGGTTCATACCGACAGATCGAGTAAATGGTTTAATTATAGCACCGGGTCCAGGTATCTGGGTCCACAGAAACCGGCTCTTGTACATATGCAAGTTGGAGTTCTACATTACTTGTCGATATAGCCCTTCCGAAGGGTTTGCTTCTGTCCTTGAAACTTACGGCCAATGGCAGTTAATTGACATGAAGCTCAGCCCAGAGCGAGGAATGGGCCAATTTCACACTGTCTTTTGCAATCCACAAGCTCTAGCGATGGAATTCCGATCATCATCTCCGGCCACAGCGCCCGTTTCAGCTGGGAGCCACTTCAGCCACGTCATGCGGCTAAAGCCGTAGATCCCCAGTTCAAATGGCCAGCAGAAGGATAGAAAACACGAGAGATCGACATTGCCATGCGAATCTCCCTTTCCCCCTTTTTCAGATATGGGGCCCAGACGTAAATCCACCTTGCCGAGGAACATCATGATCTCACCAATGAGCAAGATCCTGAGATCCCGCGCAGTCACGCGGTGTTGAGTGGCTGTTCATATGACAGGGGGCTAAAAACTTGTATATCACAACTGTGTTCCGTCCTTCCCACATGAGGTTTATGTACTGCCCTGCACTCTGCACCCTGTCTGGGATACTATCCCTATTGGGGGCATGGTACTTATGTACAATGTGCGGGAGTACTACTCTATTCTTTGTGGCTGCATCGAAAACCTTCTAAAGTTGGAATGTCAGCCGTGTTTTCTAGGTCCAATTCGAGCTCACCATCACTTTAAGGTGTTCCAGTTGTGAAGTTGTTGGGCTGGTAGTACTCCGTACTTGAGCCTCTTACTTATAAGTGGAATCTATGGATCTATAAATGATCCATGTTTATACTTCCGATGGAACCAGAGCCAGGTATATCATATATCATATATTACTTTCAAACAGTGGAGACCATGTTAATATGCAGAGTATGCAAAGTACTCCATACTTAAGTACTGAAGTGTAAAGGATTCCCCCATTCTCCAGGGCTTGGCGGGAAATTTCCCAATTTGGAACATTTCCCAATGCGGACACTCCGCACTAGTCAAAAGTCCTCATATAAGGTCTCAAGGGTCTGCATGTTGGAATACTTTATTTTCATTTTCATTCTCTCACTCTCTCATTCTTATTCCATGTGTCCGTATTATTATCTTGTAGACATGTCCATATACCAAATCGCTTCTTCAGACTCAATACCTAAATCGCCCCCTTAACACCTTAGTGCCCGGAAAGGCGGTGACTATGGCAAACGAGAGGACCGAGCGGGGTTTCAAGGGGGGAATTTTTACTTTCTCCAGATTCTCTGTCTCCAAATCTACTCATGGCGTCAAGTCAATCTTTCGATCGTCACAAGTTTGTGAACGCCCCCGAGAATCTGGCGATCCGCCCAGCCCGACCGGTAGGTCGCGCGGCTGGTCGCCCAACGGGGGAATTCCTGTGGGTGGACTACAAGGAAAACCAATCCAAGGCCCGTGATCTAGTGCGATCCAAGCAGGCCTTCGTAAGGACTCGCCATCATCGATTGAGAAGAGAAAAGCAAGCCCAGCATTCCGGTCCGCCCCACTGTTCATCCCATCCCACCTCCAGCCGCTCCTCCAAGAGTGACAGCGATGAGGACGACCACCCGCAGACCGTAATCACTCCATCTCCCCAAGCGGGCGTGACCGATGGAAGCCCTTGCCTAACCGTTAGCACAAATCACAACCCCAATATCTACTTCCATCACTGTGAGTACCGACACCTTGGGCCTGCGGGAGACCGCCCGGGGGGTCCCCCTTCCCAATGGACCGCTTTTAATACGTCATATAGATCGAATTCATAGTTCAAGGGCGTGCTTCCCTCTCTGTTCCAAAGATGTGACCGTCTGGTTTTGGAAAAAGGCCGTCGAGGATCCCACATTGATGCAAATAAAATTGGCCATCAGCGCCGCCCACCGAGCGGCCATTCTCACGGCATCCGGCGCTCCTTCATTAGCCGTGCAAAAGCCGGCACAGGATGCACTTCGCTTCCGCGGGGAAACAATAAAGTCGCTCCGATACATATTGCAAAATACTTCCACAATGTGCTATGAGCAGACAATTTTTATCATTGCTCATATCATTGTCTCTGAGGTAAGTCTCTGTCTGTCGTATTGAAGGAACCCTTACTCATGAACAGGGTTTGCAGGGCTTGGAGGCCAACTCAGATGCAGCTAATATGCATATGGATGCCGTGAGGCAGATGATTGATTCTGCGGGCGGCATGGACCTCCTTGGGCATGGCACGCTCTCTATGCTTTATAGGTAAGACGGGCAAAATGCAATCCGAGTGACCACTGCTGATTTGATTTGGCAATACAGTTGCGAATTCCTGCGAGGAATCATGACCAATACTTTGCCAAAGCTCGATATGTGTGCGAAATTCCAGACTCGAGTCATGAAAGAGTCCGCCTTCCTCAAATCGAACTACCAGTTTACGAGGGCTTGCACCCTTGGCAATCGGTTCTTCAACGCCCCGTGGTCTCAAGAAATCCACCCCGTATTTAAAACACTCCTCTCTCACTTCCAGCAGCTCGTCTCTTATTATGAGAGCTTCAACGAGGTTGACGTTGAGCCAATGTCGGTTGAGAATGACTGCTTATTATATCTGAACTATCGATTGCTGGCACTACCGTATGAGTGTTTACTTACACCATTCGAGGAGACTCTGCGCCTCTCAGTTTTGACCTATTGTTGTGTTCGCATTTGGAACCTTTATGGAGTTCCCTGTCTAGGGGTTCTTCTTGAAAAGCTTCGGAAAAGTCTGTTCCGGAGTCTCTATCTCTTGCAAAGCATCGCGCCAGACCTGCTTTTCTGGATTCTGTTTGTTGGAAGCCTTGCATCAAGGGGCATGAAGCCCAACTCATGGTTTTTGGCCCACCTTACGGATGCCACAGAACAGTTGGGTCTGAAAGATTGGGCCAGTGCGGGATCAACTTTGGAAAGCTTCTTCTTTGTGTGTCGGCGTCACGACGAGCCAGCCAAAGACATGTGGAATGCCAATTTCTAGACACCATGTATAGTTGGGGTCTAGAGGGCTTTAATGATTATAATATGACAATATACCCGGCAACATCAGCCGAACTTGGGATAAAGTTATCTATTATTGGATATTCAACGCACAAACTATTCCGTAGAGCTCGGAATCATTAAGCTGATCAGTGTTCTGCATATTCCTCGCGCTAATGCAGGCCTATCACCCGAGTCACTTTTTCCTGCTGATTTCGTTGGCTGTGATTGGGCCTCAAAGCGCTAAACCGTCACACCTGCTTGCGGTTCGACCATTACTCTCTGCGAAGTCGAACCCCCAGAAATCGGTCTGCAATGGACGTCTTACATTGGCTCAATGTCTCTCTAACCACAGAGTTCTGTGTCGTTGGGCTTATCCTGTCATCCGCCTGCAGGCTGTGTCACTCCCCGCTTCACCTTGCCATACTTGTAGACTGGTTCTCCCCCCTCAAGCTCTCCTTCCTCCTCTTTCCCTCGAATGACATCAATATATATCAGAGCTGTGTGGGCGTGTGAACTTGGTTCGAATACCAGGAGTATTGTTATGCGCGGAACTAAAGAGTGAGCTCTCCACAATAACCTCTATTTTGACGAATCTGACTGGAGATGCCCAAAAAGATAGGACCTCTGAGCTCTTTCAAACGCCACGATGTTCAACTCTATCATAACCCTTGCCAAGCGCATCAATGTCCCAGTCACAGCTTCAACGACCGCGGCCGAGGCGGCTGAGATGCAGCGGGACCCGTGGTCCAAATCAGCGAAATATGGAGTGGGATTTGTTTATTTCGCCGTTGTCCTACTCGTCATAACAACCTTTATCCGATGCTGGCACAAATGGGGCGACAAAATGCGAATTGCGCTGTATAAAGAAAACCGACCCGAAATATATCGCGACGACTCCGTACCTGATGAGTACGAGCTCCCAAGTGCAGGCACCGATGCTTCCAACGCACATTTCTTCCCAGAACCGACCGCAATATCTCCGGCCAAGAGGACCGAATCTGTTCTTGCTAGGATAGTTCCGCTGAACAAGGCAATCGCATTCATGCGTTGGATATTCTATCGCCCAATTCCAACCTTGAAGATCGGCAAGCTGGAAGTCGTTTTCCCATCTTTGGCTGTTACAGTGATTGTGCTGGCGGCGCTGATCTTTGTCACTTTGTACTGCTTTGTACCGCAGCCCCTGTACTACTGGTCAATCGCACTCGGCTCTCCGCCACTGGCGATCCGGGCAGGCATGCTTGCAGTAGCTATGATCCCTTGGATTGTCGCTCTCAGCACTAAAGCAAACTTCATCACGATGATGACTGGCCTGGGCCCTGAGCGATTAAACGGACTGCACCGCTGGTCGGCTTATATCTGTCTGTTTCTCAGTCTGGTACACATTATTCCCTTTTATGTCACTCCAATTTGGACTGAAGGTGCACTCGTCAATTATCGTCTGGGCATACCACCACATGCTTATGTATATGGAACTGGAATCGCGGCTCTAGTGCCCTTGCTCGTTTTGTGTGTTCATTCGCTTCCATTGTTCCGAAATTGGATGTACGAACTGTTTGTCTTTATACACATTCCAGTCTCGTGGATCTTTGTGGCAATGATGATCTGGCACACGAGGAATTATTTACAATCATGGGGCTATCTCTTTACAACCATCGCCATCTGGATCATTTCCTATGTGGTCCGCCTATTCTATTTGAACTGGACAAATCCCCTCCGCAGCTCATCGTTCTTGATCGGCGAGGAGTCAGCCTTGACACTTCTCCCTCAAAATGCGATCAAGGTCACAATTCCTACCAAGATGCGCTGGCGACCAGGCCAGTACGTATACCTCCGACTGCCGAGAATCTCTATGATCCAGAGCCACCCTTTCACAATTGCTTCACTCTGCAGTGAAGATTTCCCGTCCGCCTATGGCGAAAAATACCGTGACATGACGCTGGTCTTCCGTCCCTTCAAAGGGTTCACACGCGAAGTTTTCCAAAAGGCCTTAGAACACGGCCCCTACAGAACCTACAGTGCATTCGTCGAAGGGCCTTACGGCGGTATGCAGCGGGAGATGGCCGCCTTCGACGATGTGATCTTCTTCGCCGGAGGCAGTGGCATCACAGCCATCGCAAGCCAACTACTAGATCTAATCAAGAAGATCAGAGACGGAAAAGCCATCACCAAGTCAGTCCGAGTAATCTGGGCCCTAAAAAGCCCCGAGACAATGGAATGGTTCCGCGAAGAACTACGAATCTGTCGCGACTATGCACCCTCCAATATCGTGAACTGCCACTTCTTCCTCACCGCGGTGAAAGCAGACGACCAGGCCGGACGCGACATAGTCCAAGAAAAGATCTACGGCATGCTCCAAGGCATCGACAAGCGAAATTCAGCATACATCCGCGCCGAAGCCGCCGGCAACCCAGATATCGAAAAAGAACTGCGTCGCGAAAACGAAGATGGCGTCGCTGCTCTTCCAAACGCTTACACTGCTGCTCATGCTGCTAATACTCGCCAATACTACCAACCAGCAATGGAACCCTATGCTGGTACAAACACGCCTAATTCGAATTTCGACTTCGGCTTCGGAGGTGCCCAGAATGTGCCTCAAAGGCCGCCTCCGGCGCCGGCGCCGCGCTTTGCGTATTATCAACCGCGTGCACGGGACAATTGGCGTACGGATTACTTCCGTCCTAATATCCCTGAGATTATTAATGAGTTCTCAAAGAGTTTTGGTCGTCGTACGTGTGTTTTTGTTTGTGGTCCGCCTAGTATGCGTGTCGAGGTTGCAAACTCAGTGGCAAAGCTGCAATGGCAGGTCATGATGGATTCGTCGAAGGATGAGATCTTTTTGCACGCGGAGAATTATAACATCTAATTTCGGAGTAGCGTTTGTTTGGCCTTGTTGAAACGATACCCATAGTGTACTGAATATATGGAAATATGAGCTTCTCACCGCGCATAAGCAGCCGTAGTTATAGCCGATAATCGCAAATTCAGTCTGTAATTTAGCATGGCTCGAAGAATTCCAGGGCTCTATTCAGATGGGATAGAGCACCAAGATCATTTGAATTTGAAGTATGGGGTATCTGGGGATCTAAGCCTGGCTTATATGCCAGCGCTGGGCAAACAAGGGTATACGCAGTGCATCACAAGTTCAAACATCCACAGTAGCCTTACTTGCGCAAAGGCATGCTACTATCATCTTCGGCCTTACGCTTACGCGAAGGTGTGTCCGGTTTTTCAAGGACCTGTGATGCATCGAAATGGCGTATGCCATGGTCACCTTCATCTCCATCCTCTGCCTCGACCTTCTCCCAGTCCTCATCAATTGCCTCACTATCAGGAGATTTCTCTCGAACACCATCCTCTCCCAAGGGTGCAGGCTGATCTTTATCCCAGTGTAGATCTAGCTGTACAATCTTCGCCCCGGAGGGATCTAAGCGACGATAGTACCCCGGGACATGGCCTTGTACTTTGAAACCACGCGACATGTACCACTTGAGAGCATCCTCGTTAGCCTCGTGGACATGTGCTGTCACTGAGCGGATATTATAGTGTTTGACAAGCTCGGACACCTGGTACGATTCCTTGTTTGGCGGCGCCAGGAAAAGAAGCGAGTTCAATAACGATGCTGCCACGCCATGACTCCGATAGGGTGAGAGGAGGTGAAGGGTCTGTATGTATAGGTTTGTGGATTCTGTGTTGATCTCAGGCTGCGGGCATGAGTCCTCTGGCTGTCGAATTCTCTCTAGCCGACAGCGAATACCACCAATCACTTTATTGGTCCCGGTCAAGGTGGTAGTCTCCGGTGCTGCAGCAACAGGGTGATCATGGTATATAGCCACTCGCGACAGAGACGCTATCACCGGATCTGTTATGGTAGCTGCGTAGAAGGAGTTTGGGTAGCGGATCGGGAGAAGCAAGCCCGTGATCCGAGTTAAAGAAGAGATATGCGCCGTATGGATCTTTTCAACCGTGATATGAGGGTGTGGAGTCTCAGCTCTGGCTGGAATCTCTAACGGGTATGGATCAAAGGCCTCCTCTTTCGAGCGTGGACTCGACGCGTTTGCGACAGACGATGGTAGTTGAATTGGAGGGGGGTGTATGGGTGGCCGCGCAGGACTTCGACTGGGAGGAAGTGACGATGAAGCCCTCTGATTCTTTGCAAAGAGCTGGTAATCCATTTTGAAGATTCAAGGTCTGCAATAGAGAGACACAGACATAGAGAAACAGAAACAGAAGAAACAGAAACAGAGAGGCTCAGAGCGAATGCGGAGATGCGATAAGATAAGCTCAACGAACAACTTGCTCCAGCCTCATCCGTCTCTTCTCCTCCTCCGAGATATTGGGATCCGCATAGACACCTTCAATAAGGTCAGTACCTGGTCTCATACTATGGCTTGCATAAGCCTGTGTCAATGGTCTACTCCCATTGGCCTCATTGTCTTTCCATCCCCCTATTGTTGCGCCCTATTCATCCCATTGGAAAACCCGCTGACAATAGGATTCTCCAGTGCAATTCGGTCATTCCGGCTTTTACTCCTTTGATTTTGGTATTTATGTCTGGGAGACTCTTCACGACTTCCAGCCATTTCGATTTTCGCACCGATCGCATCCTGCATAGATTCCCGGTACATGGAGGCGTAGACCTCGGACCAAGTGGTTCAGATCACTCACTACCTGTGTCGCGGGAGGGCACAGTCGTCGGTCATTCAGGATCGGAACTTTGAGGTTTGGCGCATACATCTCCGACCGCAATCCGAGGATGGCCGACTCCAATGGCGGTGGTCGCAGGCCGATCTACCCTGCCGGGACGATCGCCAAAGTGGTACGTTCTAAACTCCGTGGGTGGTGCAGTACAGATTTTGATGCTCGTCGGTATAGTCTAGTGACATTTTGAACGAAACATTTCACAACATAATTCACGACCTCGTGGCCAAAGTTCATCGCGAAGAAAAGGTGGCGCGCATGCGGTCCGCGGTGGTTGTCGCCCGACAAAAGGCAGAAGAGGAGGCGATCTTGCCCGAGGAAACAGCAAGCAAAACATCGGTTGATACAAAGAGGGAAATTGTCCTGGACCACAAAAAGCTTTCCGGGATGCACATGGAAACCGATGCAGCCGTTTACGACCGCGGAAAGGTCTTCCTCAAGGGCAACCCACTACAAACAGTCAAGGAAGTCATCTGTCCAGACTGTCGCCTTCCCCGCCTGCTATACCCAACCGCTGGGGCCAGTTGCAGGGCTCCCCCCGATGCGGATGCCGAATACTGCTCAAACCGCCCGCTGATTAGCAAGCAGGGCCATGATGTCCACGGCAAATTGTATGCCATTATGCCAAATCCCAAAAAGAAGAAGGGCGATCGCGACAGTACAATCCCTGAGATGCCCACTACCAAATGTCCCCTTTGTCCCCGTTATTTCCTCATGACTCGTCTTGCCCAGCATCTGGACCGTTGCATGAACCTCTCTGGCCGTGGCGCGGGCACACGCAACAAGACCCCTACCGACAGCGGAGCCAGCAATGGCAACAGTCCAACTTCATCATCAGCGAAACGAGCACATGCAGATGCAGACGACGATGATGGCAGTCCCAGTCCCACCAAAAAGAAGAAGAAGCTGAATGGACCCAAGAAGGGATCCTCCAACAAACCCGGGCCCAGCAAGCTCAAGCAATCTTTTACAGCTGAGGATAATGACGACGATGTGAAGAGCGAAAATGCGGACTGAGCTTCCCTTTGTTTCTCATACCCCTTTTTCCTTGGTGTCCGCGGCGTTCGAGCTTTGTTTACTGGTCATATCCCACGGCGTCTCTGGGTCTGGTTTGGTTTGATCATGATCTGATCTTTCCTGCGAATAAATTTGCATAGATGAATGATGAGGGGCTTGGAGGATTGTACATTACTTCATACCATGGAATGCAATATGGCTTTGCAATATGCAGCCAATCTGTGCTTTAATTGATTTGTTCTTTTACAAGCTCTATATGCCCCATATTCGAGTAATGCTCGTCGTGACATGCGAAGCAATAGTAATCTGACGATATAGTCGGCCGATGCTCTTTGTACTCTCTTCTTCGCTTCTCGAGCAACAGATCCAAGCCGCTAAATCCTATCAAGTCCTTGGACCCTTCCAAATTGAGAGGCCCCACAACATTCTCTGTGCGTCAAGTTTGCTGCTGGCTTTTTGCTAGACTGCCTCTCAAATCAAAATATCCTCCATCCTTCTAGCACACCCACACACGGCATTCTCACAACCTCCGGGTTCGAACCAAGAAAAACCCTTCGATCACGTCCCTTCAATCTGCGATATGCGTGCAGGAAGCTTGTGGCTGTGGCTTTCCGCCATTGCCCTAAGTTATTCCCTAGCCCAAACGGGCCAGACATGCTCCAGAGACAAGGGTGATTTGGTATCCGCTACCATTTGCTGCAATGTGTCACTCCCAACCATGAGAGCTTGTTGTGGTAAGAAGAGAATGGTCAATCAGTCTAGTGCGAGACGCATGGCTGACTGTGCAAATCGAGGCTCGCCATCGAGGGTGTCTCTCGCACTCGACCCGCAGGCCATTGATACCACCAGTACTCGTACAGCCACAGCCTCATTTTCTATAGATGCTCATCTTGGCCCGTTTGCCAGTCGAACTGATTCACTCGAATTCCCAGAGTTTGTTGCCAGCAATGGCTTCAACACCGCAACGTCTCTGCAGGACCAGATTGGGATCAAGTCGCAGCCAACTTTGGGTGCAACTGCTCGCTCTCGTTTGCTGACGTTTTCCCCGTTGAGCTTGAGCAATGCGGTTTTACAAGCTCAATATATCACTGCACAACTTCATTTTGGACCACTGTCCACTCTGTCGGTGGCAATCAAGGTTGGAGCCTCAAAGCTCTTTTCTCGATCTTCCAATGAGGAAACACCGCTCTATGCCTGGAGTCTGACTATGATTTCAACTACTTTCATATTACAATCTGAGGGTTCGCAAGCAGACTCCATGGAAACTGTAGGGCTCGACAAGCTCCAAAGTCCAACCCTAGCCATCGATGATACTGTCACTGCCACGGACTCCACTGCTTCCCTAGCTTCCAGGATTGTACCAAACCCATGTCCGACGCCCATTCTCGCTGTTCAAGATGTGCATGATTCCAATCAAAAGTCAGACACTGTGAGCCTGGAGAAGAGGGGTGGCTCCACGAATACAAGTGCCTTAGAACCCCCGACTCAACCTAATCCAGACGACCCCAGACAATGGTCAACCAGCAAGACAATAGTACTTTCAGCAATGGGCGGTGCATTACTCTTGGTTGGCTTATGCTTCGAAATCTGGTGGTTTCGACAGAAAAGCCCTATAGTCACCCGGTCAGGCGCCTACCCTACAAGTATTCCTACAAGTCCAACATTTCCCGATGGATCTACCGCACCACGTTTTCCTATCCAAACAGAAAACCTGTCAGAGCCACCATGGGTTGAGGATGACGACTTGGATGAGTCCTCGCCACTCGTGCAGGTCCCAACTGACCGTGATCGATTGCCGGCTCCTGATGAAACTGTGCCTTCAAAGGACGCAATCCCAATGGTGGCATTGTCGGCTGACGGTCGTCAGTTGCAGTGAGAGCCGGGGTGATGTCTTCGACTTGCATTGATTGCCCATGAATGTGAAGCCTGCTGCCAAGGATACTCAAGCCATGTCTAAAGTGGTGTACCTCGATCTACCAGGGCTAGCCTCCTGTACTGAGGCCTCCGTTTGCCCTAGGTGCCCATTGAAAAGAGAAAAAAAAAAGGAGAAAGAGAAAGAGAGAGATAAATAATTGAAGAATGCATTTATTGAAAAAGAGAAAGAAAAGAAGAGGAAGTAGCAGCATTTGATCGTAAACAAATAAAACTGGTCTTCTATGCTTGTCCCTAAAAGGTGCCCGCGGTGCTGCTTATTAAGGGGGTTGCTTGACTTGAGCCTCAGCTACTGAACTTCTCCAGAACTCCAAAATGGCCGATCTTACTACATGGGCAGCTCCAAAGCTATCCCAGCTTCTTCCGCTGGATCCCGAGTCTCTGTCGCAGGTCATTGAGTATGCTGCCAGTCTTTCAAAGGAAGCCTGCGCCGATCATCTCAAAAACCTCCTCGGAGACTCCCCCGCCGCTCTTGAATTCATTTCCTCATTCAATGCGCACCGAGAACCTCAGCGACCGCCTCAAGCTCCGCCTGCACAGTCTCAGTCTACTACAAGATCAACGGGTGCGAAGAAAGGCAAAAAGAAAGCTCCGTTGCACAGCGCCGGCCCACCACGCCGGCCCGATAACTACGGAGATGTTGGCGGCGGCTACAAGAAAGCTGAAGAGGAGGACTACATGAGCTCCCGCAAACCCACAGCCTCAAATCTTGCACCATCCCAAAATGCCTCCGCATCCTCGTCCCGCGTCCCCTCGCCTTTGCCCGCATCTGCTCCGAAACCACCACCATCCGCCAGCGGCCCCACTATCTCGGATATGCTACCAAACGTGCGATCAAAAACAGCTAAATCCACTCGACAAGGTGGCACAGGATCATCTGCTAAGACCGGAACAACCCTGACAACAAACGATATCTCCGACCTCACATCGGCTATCGCTGCGTTAGAGGTCTCGACCAACCCGAGTCTGGGCGAGAGGCGCAAATGCACCTGCTATGGATCTCTTCACCCAGTTTTCGATCCAGCCCCTAATTGCCTTAAATGTGGTAAGATTATTTGTTCTCTAGAGGGACTGCAGCCATGCTCTTTTTGCAACACGCCTCTCCTCTCTGCCCAAGAAGTGCAGGGCATGATCCGGGAACTACGAGCGGAGCGTGGACAAGAGAAGATGCGCGTTCATAACGAGGGTGTCCATCACGAAGGAGTACCAAAGCCTACTGGGGCCGAACCACCCAGCAATCTGGATGCTGCGAAAGCCCACCGTGATAAGCTACTCCAGTTCCAGGCGCAAAATGCCCGCCGAACCAAGGTTGTCGATGAGACGGCTGATTTCGAAACACCAAATGTTGCTTCCACTCTGTGGATGACACCCACGCAGCGAGCATTGGCGCTCAAGAAACAGCAGCGCATACAGCGGGAAATGGATGAACAGGCCCGACCAGAGTGGGAGAGGAAGAAGACTGTAATGAGTCTGGATATCAAAGGCGGCAAGGTTCGCCGAGTATACCATTCTGCGCCCACGGTGTCGACGCCAGATACCAGTGAGCCTGAGCCGGCCGAGGAAGAGGGGACTGCAGAGGCCCCGAGGAGGGAACCTACCTTTAGTCACAACCCATTGCTTGCAGCTGGTGGTCTAATGCGACCTATCTGGCGAGCACCAGAGGGTGCAAAGACCGAAGCATCTGGGGAAACAGAAAAGAAACAAACCTGGCGGCGTGTGCAGGATGATAATGATGACAACGAGCAGTGGATTTTGGATGGCGGAGCACATGGACATACAACGACCTAGACCCTGATGATATTCCCAATATGAACCGCAAGACCAACCAGGCCCATGTCTTTCACCTGGTATGTAGCCCATCTTGGCTGAGACTTCCTGCCATGTTTCAGCCCTGGAGTCGACCACCACACCTTTGATTGGGGCTCGGACTGCCAAGGCCGCCTATCATCGAGCAACGTGTATGATGGGCATTCTGAGCGTGCGCAATATCGCTGTGCTTCACAATGGCGACATAACCGGATATCGGATACTCCGAAAAAACGGTTAATAACGGTTGAACACCAATTTCCAGTTTGAGCCGAGACAGTGGAGTCAGAGGGGCACCTTGATAGTACACTACTGCATGGCCGAAATTGCTGATTGCTGACCAGAGGACTGCAAGGCCTTCCACGTCCTCTCTTGCACACTGCAACCGATAGGAGCAATAGACAAGGGCATTAACTATTCTGCGCAATGAAATGAGAATTGACTGGGACTCCCCGCAAAAGTACCAAACATATGCGAGGCTTCCCCGCGGATCCCCGGGCATTTAAGCATATCCAATCCGGCGCGCTGCATTAGACCGAACAACCGCCTATAGCCGGGGTCAGCAAGATGGTCACACTAGAAACCCAGAGCAAATTACAGCAAATCAAGAGCTCACTATTGGAGTAACCATTTCCGTCAGCCCTTTGTGCTCGTCATTGACTGGGGAATGTCGGTTGGGGGCGGGTAGCCCCGGCCATCCGATGTATAAAGGAAATTTAGGAATATCAACTCCAGACAAAGGGCTTTTCCTGCAATCTCAAAATGCTTGCCGAATCTGTGGGGTATTTATCTATACAGAGGGTCCTTGGGGCCCTAGTAGGGCTACTGGCAGTCGCGGTATGCACCCTTCCTCTCACCTGGGCACTCTATCACTATTTAGAGTACATCTCAAGCGTATCAGCCTCGTACAGAGTCATCTAACGATGCTTAGACCTTTGCCTTTGGCTTCTATAACCGATTCTTCCATCCCCTGCGCCGTATAAACGGCCCCATCCTCGCCTCCATCACACCGTGGGTCCAACTTTACCATGGCCTTAAAGGCGACCGCCATCTATGGCTGCACGAGCTGCACAGCAAGTATGGAACTCACGTTCGGGTCGCACCGAACTTCGTCTCTGTCAACTCAGATCGCGGACTCCACGATATATACGGGCACGGCAAGCGTCTCCAGAAAGCCACTTTCTATAATGCGTTCCCGGCCATCAAGGGCGTGTATAACACCCACAACGCGATTGATAAGACCATGCACGGGCGCAAGAGAAGAGTGCTCAGCCAGGCATTCTCCGAAAATGCCCTTAAGGGAATGGAAGACGTGATGCTCCTCCATGTACGTCAGCTCTGCGCCGTCTTAGCTGGCTATGATGGAAACTTCGAATCCCACGACCAGAAAGGAAATGTGAAAAACATGGGCGATTGGTTCAGTTACCTTTCCTACGATGTGATGGGCGAGCTCTGTTTCGGAAAGAGTTTCGACATGCTCATCTCCGACAGCCTTCGATACAAGGTTGGTTTGGTAGATCGTGCCGCGAACCGTCACTACGTGGTAAGTCCCCTGGCCCCTCGCATGGTTCCCAATACCTCGCATGATTCCAAAATCTGACATCCTGAAGTGCGGACTGTGGATGCCCCTGGACACCTGGGGTCTGGATCAAATCTTCATTCGCAAACTGACCCGGGACCGGTGGAACTTCATCATGAACTCGCGCGTGGAAGCCAACGAGCGCGCTAAAGAACGTACCCAAATTGGCCGAGATGCCAAAAAGGACTTCTTCTACTACCTGCTCAATGCCAAGGATCCCGAAACTGGCAACGGACTGAGTACCCCCGAGCTCTGGGGCGAGTCCAACGTCCTCATGATCGCAGGAAGCGACACCACCTCCACCACCTTAGCCGCCACTCTCTTCTACTTGGTCCGACGGCCAGAGGCACTGGCCAAGCTAACGGCCGAGATCCGCAGCGCCTTCACTGAAGTCGAAGAGATTGTGACAAACAGCTCACTTGGTGAACTCGTGTATCTGAAGGCGTGCATCGACGAAGCTCTCCGTCTAGCACCGGCTGTGCCAGGCGCGATCCCTCGCGAAGTCATGGACGGCGGAGCCGTGGTCGACGGCGTCTTCCTACCTGCGGGTACAGACTGTGGAACACCGACTTACTCCATTCACCGTCAGGAACGCTACTACCGGGAAGCAGGAACTTATATGCCTGAGCGCTGGATTGAGAATGCCACCTGCACGGCTGGGGCATCGTCTTGGCAAACGACCAAAGAGAGCATTGAAACGGCGCGACACGCGTTCTGTCCGTTTAGTATTGGACCTCGAGGATGTATTGGCAAGAGCATGGCATTCATGGAGATGCGTCTAACACTGGCGCGTCTGGTGTTCCTATTCGACATGTCGTTGGCTGATCGTGAAGGTGAAGTCGCTGGGCATTTGGCGCTGACGGATCACTTTACCAGCGCGAAGAACGGGCCTAACGTTGTATTCCGGCGAAAGTAGAACAATCCTATTCAATTAGATTTCATATCCTGCATATCCCGTTTTCATTTCTGTTCTTAAATAATTTCTAAAATTGTCTCGCTGTTCCTTGTCAGGACACGGTTGCGCGTCTTGGCAATTTCTCCTTTGTCGACACACCAAGTACACAGTACACTAAGCACTGAGTACAGAGTACACTGAATACATGGAATAAACTCACCATGCCCTCGCCTCTGACGGTGACATTTGTCCAGGCAACGGCTCTCAACGCCATTGCCAATGTCCTCGCCCAACTAATCGACCAGCGCAACAACAAAGTACGTACTCCGAACAAAAACAAAACACCACTAACCACCCCCAGGGTCCCTTCACTCTAAATGGACTTGCACTGGTTCAATTTCTCATCTATGGCCTGATCATTGTACCCCCTAATTTCTACTGGCAACGCGTCCTTGAGGCGCGATATCCGGGGTTCCCCTCGCGCGCCGAGTACGCCAATTTATTCAGCCTTCGCACGCTGAAATCCATCTTTTCCCCGCGCGTATGGATATCCCTCTTCTCAAAGGATGAATCCCTACCTAGTCACACAGACAAGGTCAAAGAGAAAGATGTCCGGACACCACCGTCAGGATTACGCTGCCTAGCCATGAAACTCCTCCTCGATCAAACCCTGACATCAGTAGCGAATATCATTTTATTCGTGGCTCTGATTAATCTTCTTAAAGGCGAGAGTTTGTCTAAAGCCTGGGGATTGGTGGTTGTGGTATGTTTCGTCCCAGTTCATCCCAATGAGATGCTCATCTTCATAGGACTTCAAACCCATTATGGGTGCCCGTCTTCGGTATCGGCCTATTGTCTCGGTCTTGATGTATACGGTCATTCCGGTGGATCGCCGGGTTGTGTTTGGAAGCGCTTGTGGGGTCATCTGGGGTGTGTATTTGAGTTTATATGCGGCTGTCTAGACTGGATATGAAGTTTTATCTGTACTTTGGGGGATTCATATGGTGTCGGTTGTAATATTTCATGTCAAAATTAATCAATTTGGGGAATACGTTCAATCCGTGGATGTTTTGAGCCCGTTCCGTGGGGAGTTATATCCCGCGGCGTGTATAGCCCTCCAGGGCTGGAGAGCATTGTTCTTTGGGCAGATGATTAGAATCGTTGGATTTAACTAGATATGAATGGGTTTTTCCCAACTTTAGCCCTTTAGAAGGAGGTGTTATTCTTGAACTGTAAATTGGGTGTGGTATGTTATCCAATGTTTATAACCTGATCTACTTGAGTAGTGTGAAGTTCTAAAGTTCGAAAACCATCATCTTGAAATATTCCTGCACGAACAGCCTTAGAAAAAACCGCTATATTAAGTCTGAAATGCTTACAGGTACACAACGTTAGAACAACTTTAGAAAGAGCAGCGTTGAAGAATAAAAGCCAATTACCACGGCATCTCACATTCCACGGGAACCCCATGGACGTCAAAAAATCAATGTCATTCTGAAGTCCCAGACTTCAAATTGTGGGGTCCCCGGATTTCGACTGACATGATACATCTCACATATAAGGTAGCTCCAAGCCCTGATGCTTGTCTGGAGTAATACCGAAGTGACTCTTTATCAACCCGCTCAGTCATGTTTCGTGGCAGATCGCTCCAAGTGGCACAATTGCTCCTCACTGTAGCACCTGCCTTCATCACATATGGATATAATCAAGCGGGCGTAGCTCCGCTCGCATCTCTGCAGTCATGGTATTCTTCTAATGCTTTTATGACATGATCACAGGCTAATGAATTCCAGGGTCTCTATATTCCCCGAGATTGACACAATCAATACTGAAGGAGCAATCAAAGAGAGAAACTCCACTAGAAAAGGAGCAGTTATTGCAGCTCTACAAATGGGAGCTCTGCTCGGAGCTCTCAGCTGTGCATACTTCGGTGATCGCCTTGGTCGACGCAAGACCATTTTCATGGCTGCTTTGATTACAATCATCGGAGAACTGCTTCAGGTTTCTTCGTACGGGATCATTCAATTTACCCTGGGTCGGGTAATTGTTGGAATTGGAATCGGGCAATTGAGCGCCACTGTTCCGGTGTGGCAGGCAGAATGCAGTTCTGCAAAGCATCGTGGACAGCATGTGGTTGTTGATGGGATTTGCATGGTGCTCGGTTTTGTGATTACCAACTGGGTTGATTATGGATTCAGCAAAACAACCGGTGAGATTCAATGGCGGGTTCCGTTGGCGCTTTCGTTCCTCTTTCCCTTGACTGTTGCGGCGTCTATCTTTTTTCTGCCCGAGTCGCCTCGATGGCTTGTGATGGTTAATCGGATCAACGATGCCGCACAGACTCTTGCAGAGTATAGGGGTCTCCCAGTTGATGATGAAGCCGTGCAGACGGAGATTGCCAGTATTGAATCATCGTTGGAACTCACTGCGCAGTCGGAGAGCGTCACATTACGAACACTGTTTGTGGGAGACGACGACGAACGCCTGTTATATCGATTCGCACTTTGTCTGGCCATTCAATTCTTCCAGCAGATGTGCGGCGGAAACCTGATATCGACATATATTTCGACAATCTTCGAAGAAAACCTCGGCTTGGGCTCTGAATTATCTCGAATCCTCGGTGCAAGCGCCCTAACATGGAAATTCATCTGCAACTTCATTCCGTTCTTCGCAATTGACCGACTAGGCCGTCGAAAAGTCTTCATAGTCAGCGGAGCAGGCATGTGTCTCTGCATGACTGTGTTGGCCATCACAACCAGCTTCGAAAATGCCTCCCGTGGACTGTCTATAGTCTCCGTAGCCTTTATCTGGCTATTCAACATGTTCTACCCGATTGGATTCTCCGGTGCAAACTTCCTTTACTGCACGGAGGTTGCTCCTATGCGTTTACGCGTTGCCATGTCCTCTGTATCGACTGCAAACAAATGGCTTTGGAACTTTGTTGTTGTTATGATTACACCTGTGGCGTTGGATACTATCGGGTGGAGATATTATATTGTCTATGCTGTGATTTCGGCTTGCATTCCTGTTACGGTTTACCTGTTTTACCCAGAGACAATGGGTCGCAACCTTGAGGCTTTGAATAATGTGTTCCGTGATGCGCCTTCTGCTTGGCACATTGTGTCAATGGCGAAACGGCTTCCTGAGGGAGATGTGCCGGATTTGGTTGTTGAGGGAGAGGAGAAGATGACGGTTGAGATGAAGGAGCATGCTTAGTACCGGTATCCCTGTCTTCGTGTGGCTCACCTCTGTCCTGAAGTCCGGGTAGATAGCTGAATGTAAATAAGATTGCTACTGAACGTCCGAGGCGGCACAGACAGAGAGCCCTGTCTAAGTTGTATACCGAGGTAGGCGCATGTTATACCTGGATATTCCTTGTAACGATTGCCATAAAACATGATATTATATTTTCTTTTAAACTGTCCAACTAAATCTAACATATAAACCAACCCGCGCAAGCATAAACAGAAAACAAAAGAAGACATAGGTAAGTAAAATGTGCAAGGAAAAAGCGCCTGTCCCAAGACAACTCTAAGCAGGGGTCATTTCAATCTTCTTACCCTTGACAGAGATCCACTCAACAAAGATAGGACCAACAAGAGACAAAGCACCCATAGCAACAGCAACATAGAAGGTCTGAGTAATAGCCGCATTATAAGCAAGGAGAACATTATGCAACTGATCCCCTTGCACAAGGGAGCGAATCATAGTCGCACCAGCGGAGATCAACTGAGGAGCATTTTGTTCAGGGGCGTATTTGGCGAAATTAGTGATAAGCTGGTTCTGGAACACGTTCTGCGCGACGGAGATGAAGATCGCTCCGCCCAGGGTCTGGGCGAAGATCACCATTGCTGTGCCGACGGGGACGTCGGCGGGCTTGAGGGCGGTTTGTGTCACGATCATTGGTTGCTGCATGCCCATGCCGATTCCAATACCGAAGAGGGCTTGGTAGCCGATCCATTTTGCGTGGTTGGAGTCGACTTCTAGGGTTGTGAGGAGGCCTGCGCCGATGGTCATGATGATTGAGGCGCCGATCATGAACGGTGTGTAGTAGCCACAGGCGGTCACGAGACCACCACATAGGATGGAGACGACTACGACGGCGATGATGGTGGGCAAGTTCATGATGCCGGACTTTGTTGCAGTTGCGCCCTTGATGGACTGGAACCAAATGGGAAGCTGGTGAAGTTAGCACGTTGGCCATAGTAGAACACAAGGGAACTCACGTAGTATGTGAAGACGAAGAAAGCAGAGCCAAGGGCGAGAGAAAACCAGACCGATCCCCAAACACTGCGGTTCTTGATGAGGCGGGGAGGGATGGTAGCCCTATCTTGGGCCCAGATTTGCACAGCGCCGAAGGCAATGAGAAGCACACCGAAGACGACGAAGAGCGCAATGATGCGTCCATCGTTCCAGGGATACTTGCTGCCACCCCATTGAAGAGCGAGCAACAGACTGATGATGGCCGGCAGGAAGAAGAAGGACCCGATCAGGTCCAATTCTTTCATCTGCTCCTTGAAGGACTTGGTGGTCAAGATAGCCTTGGGGCTCTGGAACCAGAACAAGACAAAGAAGAAAGTGATACCTCCGATAGGCAAGTTGATATAGAAACACCAGCGCCAGGTGAGGTGGTCAGTGAAGGCGCCTCCCATCCTGGTATCGGTTAGTACAGCCATTCAACCAAGGGTTTCTAGAGTGACATACAGTGGACCAGCAACGTTGGCAATTCCAAACATGGATCCCACCAGACTGGTATACATCGGACGCTTATCCAGAGGAACGCTCTTGGTGATAATGAGAATGGAACCGGTGACAAGACCCGCAGAACCCAGTCCGGCGATGGCTCGACCGATGATCAATCCAACGGAAGTGGGAGTGGTGGCGCAAACCAAAGAGCCGAGTTCGAACACAAACAGCGCAGACAGATAAGTCCACTTGATTGGGTAGAAGGTGTACAGTTTTCCGAATATCAGAGTCACTGCGCATGTTGTGAGGAGGTAGGAGCTCCCGTACCAACCAACATCCTCGATAGAGTTGAATTGATCCGTAATTCTGGGAATCGCAGTTGCAATAATAGTGTTGTCCTGATTCAGCGTTAGATATGGTCGAATTCTTCAAGGACGAGCATACATACCAATGCCACGCAGAAGACGCAAAGACAAAGAGCAATAGTAATTAAAAATAATTTCCAGGCGTTTGGGTATTCTTCATCGTCTTCCTTTTTGGTCTCATCTTCTTCTTCTTTAATGGGCTCCTTGTCGGAAATATCGACTGCGACGAGGTCTTCGTTGAGGTCATTGGATCTGCGACCAAGCCCAGGAGAAGGGGAATGCGGTGGAGATGCAATTGCAATCTCTTTGTCTGTGCCAGCACCGGATGCTCCTCTCGTGTGCTGACCGCAAAGAGTGCTTCCTTTCTCACTGCAGGGCAATGAATTTCTCCATGTTGGCAGGGAAAGACTTTCGTCGTCCCGTGGCTCTACATTAGACGGAGTCGATGTGGGGACATTTGGCGCGGGATTAGCTGGGGGCGCATCATCCTCTTTGGGGGACTTGGCTTTGAAAAAGCGCATAACGAAAGACATCAAAGGGGATTATTGAAAGAGTGGAAGGGCCCGAATCGGGATTAACGAAAGTTGAGATATGGAAAGTCCAGGGGTCAGGGGGATCAGATATTTAAAAAGAAATCTATCAAAAAGAAAATAAAGGTGTTCGGCAAATTGGACAAGGTTGGCGTTGGCAACACGACTGGTAGGACAAGTACGGGTCATCAAAGACATTAGCTGCAGGTATGGGGAAAGGAGGAAAGGGTTGATCCACCGGGGCAGGTTCTATATCTATAGCCTTGGAGATCGTATTCAAAGTGCCATGTGGTGACTCCGTAATGCGAATCTCACACCGCGCTGCAGGCACTGCATGGACATTAGGCAGAGAGGTCTTGGGAAACGGAATCCCTACCAGCCTCCAAACAGGCCTTGCGGTGACAGTTAGCCATGCATGCAACTGTACTTCATGGCCAGGTGCAGTAGTGCTGAGGATCCCAGGATGAAAGTGTACACATAATACACCGAGATTGTGATTCGAGGGATCTGAATCAGTACGCACGCTTCAACACGGGCGAAAGTTTGACCTCAGCTTGCCAGGCGGGTCGGCAGTCAGGAGACATGCAAGGATTGGAGATGATATACAGGCCATGACAACAACGTATTGTTGTCGAAGCACCGATTTTGACTCTCACCAATCAGTGATCAGCAGGCACGCAAATAGTGCCTAGCCCCTTGCGCGAGATGCGACATGAGCTGTGCTCTTTTCACGTATGGGGTGTAGCACCAATTGCACACCTTGACGTAATAGGCTTTGAACAATCGAGATTTCGAAAATGAAGATCATATCGAAGACACATGAGGAACCCATCTGGAGTTGAAGGAGTTAAAGGATCTCCAGGGCGGAGTCCAACGGCCAAAAGGCGGAGGTAAGCGGCTGACACGGGTCTAACCACTTTAGGACTAGTGTAGAGTGATGTCCATGGATCCGACTCGGAGTTTGGGGTTAAGCGTCTCTTTGTTTCTTCACTTCTTACTTCTCTTTACACTGAACAGGACTTCGACGCTTTTACACGACTACTAATGTAGATATAACATGCCATTGAGTATGTCATCTACATATGGAACATGACTCTATTTCAAGGTTCTGAGCACGGGCCAGAACGGACTTAATGGCTTCCGTGGGAGTATCAGAGACCAGAACTGGAATCCACTTGTCAATATTGACATCATGCCCGGTCATCCGAGACTATGAATGCGGACCTTGTACGCAACGTTAACTCCGGGCTTCATGTGTAAGCCCAGCGTCCCTTCCTATAAGAAGGCCCATCAAATCGACCAAATTGAACTATTCAACAACATTTTCTACATCAATTACAAACAATTCTCTACCAAACCACTTATATAATGGATGAAGTCTTCAAGCCCGCTCCAGAGCCCACCACCCCCCTGGGTCGGTACCGCGTCCTCTCATCAACAGCAGGCGTCCGGGTCTCCCCCCTCCAGCTCGGCGCAATGTCAATAGGCGACTCCTGGAACCAATTCATGGGCAGCATGAACAAAGAACAATCCTTCGCCCTACTTGACGCCTTCGTCGCAGCAGGCGGCAACTTCATCGACACATCCAACAACTACCAAAACGAGCAATCCGAAGCCTGGCTAGGCGAATGGATGACAGCCCGCCAAAACCGCGACCGCATGGTGATAGCCACCAAATTCACCACCGACTACCGCAGCCACGCCCTCGGCCAAGGAAATGCCCCCAACGCCTGCGGAAATCACAAACGCAGCATGGTCCTCAGCCTCCGCGACTCCCTCCGCAAACTCCAAACCGACTTCGTGGACATCCTCTACCTCCACTGGTGGGACCATACTACTTCCATCGAGGAGATTATGGATTCCCTCCACATTCTCGTCGAACAAGGAAAAGTCATGTACCTTGGTATTTCCGATTCGCCTGCGTGGGTGGTTTCAGCCGCGAACACGTATGCGCGCGCGCATGGCAAGACACCATTCTCTATTTATCAGGGACGGTGGAATGTGATGCGTCGGGATTTCGAGAGGGATATTTTGCCCATGGCAAGATATTTTGGAATGGCGCTTGCGCCATGGGATGTGCTTGGGAGTGGGCATTTCCAGACCGCGAAGCAAATTGAGGAGCGGAAGAAGGCAGGTGAGGGATTGCGGAGTGTATTTGGGTCTGAGCAGACGGAGGAGGAGAAGAAGATTTCGGAGGCTTTGGCTACTGTTGCGGGAGAACATGGAATTGAGTCTGTGACTGCTGTTGCCTTGGCTTATGTGCTTTGCAAGGCGCCTAATGTCTTCCCGCTTGTTGGGGGTCGCAAGATTGAGCATTTGCATGATAACATTCAGGCTTTGAGTATTCGGCTTACGGAGAAGCAGATTGCTTTCCTTGAGGGGGCGACTGCTTTTGATATTGGGTTCCCTGGAAACTTTATTGGTGTTGATCCTGCTGTTAGTGGTCAGCCTTCGTTTTTGGCGGCCATGGCTGGGAAGATTGATTATGTTCAGGCGCCCAAGGCTGTTGGATATGAGCCTGCTAAATAATGGGTTACTGGTTTATCAGGTTTATCAGTGGCATGCATAATTCAAGTGTTAAACCCTGGAGATAGATGAAAGTAACCTTTTTTTTTCTTTTTTTTTTTTTTTTTTTTTTTTTTTTTTTTTTTTTTTTTTTTTTTTCTTCAATTAGATAATTAAAAAAATCTCAAATTCTGAATTTATTTTCACGAAATATTTT